TCCGTTGGTCGTGTTGAAGGAAAATAAGAAAGAAAAAAATATTAAAGAGAGAGATAGAGAGAGAGAGATATGCATCAAAAAGAAGAAGAAGAAGAAGAAGAAGGAAAGGAGAAAAGGAGAAATAGGGTGGGTGGAAACGAAAACGAAAAGAAGACTGAAAAGTCGAGTAGCAGCGTCGTGTAAAGAGATCGAGCGAGAAGAAAAATCGGTAAGTTGTATAGGTGTGTATCAGACTATGTAGAAGGAGCATGAGGAATGAGGGGGGAGAAGAAGGGGATGAGGAAGAAAGAGAGGGTGGAAGGTAGAGGAGACTAGAAAGAAAAAGAAAGGAAGAAAGAAAGAAAGAAAGAGAAAGAGAAAGAGAGAGGAGGGGTAGAAGAGACTGGTGGAGAGAAGTGAAAGGATGGTAGAACAAGAGGGGAGGGATCAATGCCGGTTGCTAGGGTAACCACGGCACCCGATCTTCCTTCCTTCCATCTATCCTGGAGCACACTTTCTCAGTCCTACCCCGTGCGTACAGGAACAAAGTGGGACTACGAAAAAGGGCTCCTCTAGGTACCTGAAAAACTTGTTTTCAAATTCGACTATAGAAACACCACCACCCCCCTTCCAATTAATCCGACATTTTTCTTGGATCAATGACCCTAATCGATTTATTTATTTTTCTTTTTTATCTTCTTCTTTTTCTTTGTGCTTGTATATCTTTATTCATTAACGAGCGATTTTTATATATATATTTGATTATTATTATTATTATTATTATATTTATGAATTAAAGAAAAGAAATCTGAAACGTGTTAAGATTTTCTTTGAATTTGTACAAATTCGACTAAAAAAATATTTAATAATGATCATTCGATTTTACATACTTCTCTCTATGTATTTTTTTCTTCCTTTTTTTTTTTTTATTTAATAATTTACAAATGAATATTTCAAATTCGTATATGCGCGAATGTATAGTGTGTTAGTATGTGATCGATAGAAAATTTACGAGGAAATCAAATATTTGGCGCGTTTGAAACTTTGTATGCTTGAACTCTAGCAATCCTAATTTTATCAAACTAAAGTTTCAATTATTCATATTGAACTTATGAATGAATCATTGCTAATCGATAAATGAAACGATCGAAATCATATATATAGTATTCTTCTTCCTTCAACCCTCTTCTTTTTTAAAATACATCGAAAAACTTTCTATAATGACTCTTGGTTATCCTCAAACTCAATCCAAGTCGAAGGACAAGTAGTGTATATATATACTTTATTTAATCTTGAACTTGTCATCTCGATGAGAATTTTCGATGCTGTTAAATTAACATTAAACTAACTCTAATAGTTTATATAAACCTCATTAATACCATAACCAATCCAATAAAAAGTCTTCACCAAAAATTATATTTTGTACGATCTAATGCAAATAATGAATAATTAATATTTATAATTAAAATGAAGAGAAGTAATAACACCAAGAATGAAATATCTGGTTCTGGTAAAATATGTTTACCATTACATAGAGAAAAATTGATCGAACCGACACGTAAACGATCAATATGAAAAGCGGGCCCGCTGCACCAACAACAGCAGCAGCAACAGCAGTACCAATGGGGGTGGAGAATGATTAAAACACGTTCAATTGTTTTTAAGCAAAGGACGACGACAACGACGACGACAACGACGACGACAACGACGACGACAACGACGACGACGACGACGACTATGACGACGACTGCGACTACTATGANTAAAACACGTTCAATTGTTTTTAAGCAAAGGACGACGACAACGACGACGACAACGACGACGACAACGACGACGACAACGACGACGACAACGACGACGACGACGACGACTATGACGACGACTGCGACTACTATGATGACTACTACTATTTACTACTATTTCTTACTACTACTACTACTACTACTACTACTACTACTACTACTACTACTACTACTACTACTACTGCGCGTGTTTCTCTGCGCATTGGTACAAGTTTTGGCGGGTCGATGTACCATTGTTGCCTCGGCGGCTGCGTTTGCTTTGTTTTCTTTTCTTTCTTCGTCCCTTGCCCCCCACCTTGTCTTTTTCTCTCCCTCTTTTTTCGTTCGTCGTTGCGAACCCTCCACCTCCACCTCCATCACCGACTCTTCCACCCTCCAACCCTCCTTTTTCGTCTCTTTTCCATTTATCCCACAACGTTACCACAGAGAACTTACGTTCATACATATATACACGCATATATACATTTATATTCTACAATCACATGTGCATTTGTACATACCGAATACGTGTATAGTATTATTCTTGTTAGTACTACTTACACATATACATACATAAAAATTAATTTTGTGGAACCAAACGAGAACCGTGGTACGATTTATTTTTACCAAAATGAAAAACCATGTTTATATTGATGAAAATAAAAAGGATAAAAAAAAAAAACAATTGAAACGAAATGAGCAAGAAATAATAAAGTTGAACAACGATACGCGTTATAAAATAATCTTTGTAGTAATTAATATTATTATGATTGCACCTTCATTGTGGTATGTAATAATTATGTTATCTGTAATTAACTTCGATCGCATCACTTTAATTGATTATTTATGATCGAAGAATATACTTGTCATGGAAAAATAGATACATTTAAAAGAATATACACTAGTCATGCGGAAAAATAGTAGATACCATTTACTATTTAACAATTAATTAGGTATGATGACTACTTTGAAAAATATATGTATCTTTATTATATAATATAAATGAAGTGATAACACAAAATATTGTCATTTGTTCATGACGAGTATAATGGTCAATCATAGTTAACTGATTAATCACGTTTATTGAATCGTACAACATGATTTTAATTAAAATTTTCAAAATTTTTCTTTTTTTTTTTTTATCATTGATTATCGTTTATTTTATTTTCAGTCAAATTTTTAATTAAATTGCGATTATTTAAACACAATAATAAAAACAAACTAAAGTATTTAAACTAAGTATTGTATTTTTTTTTTTATATAATTTTTTATATTAAAATTTTCCAAATTTTTCTTTCTTTTTTTTATCATTGTTTATCGTTTATTTTATTTTCAATCAAATTTTTCCAAATTTTTTAATTGAATCGTCATTATTCGTTTTATTTATAATTGCAACGTAATGCAATGCAACGGAAGTTCGTTTTACTAAATAAGCATAAATTTGATAAATAAGTTGAATTTTTGTTACCTACAAAAAAAAAAGAGGAAAAAAAATGAAAAATAACTTGAAGAACTTATCATTTTACAAAATAGAATATACACATAAATCAAGATGGAAACATTTTCAACAAACGATCGACAATTCGATTAGTTTTCACGACGCGAATATCGTGAAATATGACGAATATTTGACGTACAGAAGATGTATACTAAATACATAATATTTTGTACGCCATTGCTTTTGATATAGCAGTAAAAAAAAAGAAAAGAAAAAATAGTCTTTGAGTTTATGATTTTAAAAATGGTGTCTTATGAAAATGGTCAGCCTATTTTTTTTTTCCTAAGCTACTTTTGATCATTTACTAACTAAATGTTAATATGCTTAATATGCATTTATATGCATTTATATGCATTTACATGCATTTACATGCATTTATTATAAATTTTATATTTTATTTTATTATATTTATTTTTAATATTATATATATTTATTTATTTATTATATATTATATATTTTTAATTTTATATGCTCGTAAAACATATAAAAGATTTTATGTAATGAAAAATCGAACAAAATAGTACAATATATATATATATACAAAATATAATAATAATATATATAGATATATATAACTATATACAGTTGGATCGATATGCTTTAATAATTTCAAGTAGAGTAGCACAAAAAACGTACATACAAACCGAGAATAATGGAAATTGTGTCGGTAATAATAAATAATCAAATACTGAAAAAAAAATACAGTCGAATTGAGAACCTCCTCCTCCTTTTTTGAAGTCGGTTAAAAATACATTAACTTCTTTGATATCTGTTTTACGATTGCTTCGAAAATATAATTAAAAAAAAATATCCCGAATCACAAATTCGTAATGAAGTTTTTGACTTTTATTATTATCATCGACGAAAAAAACATTTTTATCTGACTTTAAAAATACGTGAACGATACACTTTCGTAACCTTCGAAAAATAAAAAAAATACAAAATACAAAATACAAAATCAAAAATATAACAAATACTATATTTCAAATATTGAAGCGTTGATCTAGAAAGAGTCGGGTAGAATTAAGAAACTTCACTGATCAAGAAACTACTCGGCCTATTTTCTAACTCGTTTACACATATGCATAACATCCTCGCAAACTAAAAGACAAGGTTAGCGAACGTATTCGATGATATATAAAGAGAAGGAAAAACAGACGGACATAGTCGTCGGACAGTCATAACGGAAGGAAAAGAGAATAAGCAAATAATCAAAGATAAAAAAAAATAAAGACAGACAAAGGAATACAATTATATACTGTATTAATATTATTTCAAATTTTAAGTTTTAAGTTTGACCAATTGATTGATATTTTCATCGGAATTATCTGCGAAACTATTGTACGTCAATTTTGACAAATGTGTTCAAATTGCACGATTAGATAATGTATAAAAATAAATAGACGAAAAAAAAAAGAAAATTGAGAAATAATTTCTGTGACTAGCGTATTTAATCGCATTACAAATTATTTACAAACATAAGGAAAATTTCATATATTTTTCTTTTGGGGAATAAATTATTATATTATTATTACTCTTCTAACTGACTCATTATTCTCGTAATCTTTTTAAAAGATTTTGGAGCAGCGCAGTCAACTACGCAGGTTAGAATACAACGTTTGGAAACGAGAAAATATGTGTACGAAGATATTAGGAATAAAGATAATGATACGTTTATATCGTAAATAAATGGAAAAAGAAAGAATTGTAGAAAAAATTGGAGAAAATAATATGAGACTTACCGGTTTAACACTGAGCCATCGCGTTTCTGGGCACACAATTGTTCGAAAAAAATTCGAGCTTTATTTTCGAACTTCTATGTTTCCTTCTTTTTCCTTCTCTTCTTTCTTTTTAATTATAATCTCTTCTTTGTATTTAATTCTTTGTATATTGGAATAATTTATAAAATGAACATTTGACGGAGGGAACGCTAACGGAAACTGTAAAATTTGATGAAGAATTACACAGTGGCGCGCAGTGGTGACCAATAACGGTAGGCCATCTTGAAGCTAGCAGCAAAGCGACCACGCACACAACGTCAAAGTCAAAGAGTTTCTCGGGAAAGCGACAATAGCGCCACAACAACCATAGACAAGCTGTTATCCTTGTTAGTCCGTGCAGTAAACCGACGAGCAGACAATGAACGTACTTCACTGCACTTGTTATACTACTACTACTGCCCTCTAATCAGAGCTGAATGTACTTCACTGTACTCGTTATGCTACTGCTACTGCCCTCTAGCAATGGTGTGTTAAAAAATCTTAGTTAGCATCGGGACCACCAGTGGGCGGTAGTAAGTATTTACACCATGACGGTACAATAATATCAGAGAATGCAAAATGAAATGGAAGATTAATTATACCCATAAAAAATCTCAATGGGTAGTACTAGCGGGTATCGGTAAAATCCTCAAATCTTTCTTCATCTGCAGAAAATAACTAGAATGCCATCTATGGTGTACAGTAGGCACTGGAGGATTTTTTTTATGTTACTTACAGCTGCAGTATGCTGTGAGGGATGCATTTGTTAATGCTGTGGGGGATGCATTTGTTTATGCTGTCTATACGCGGCAGAAAGCAATGGAGGATGCAAAATGAAATCTGTTTACAGTACTATTATATTTTAAACACTTTTAACTACTCTTTACTGCATATATAATTAAACATTTCCATTTAGCAACCCCATTTACCTGAGCAATTTTTTCGGGACCATAAATATATACTAATTACAATCCTTCTTTTTAACTATTTTAAACTCACATATGCCATCCATACACTTTAAAGAATGCAACTTGAACTCACACAAACATAGGAGAGATATAACCTGCAAGCTTACACACTGATTTGTTATCAGTGCAGTTTTTTCTGTATTACTTGTAGTTTATATTTTGTCCACATATGTCGCTATAGTCTCTTGAATGGTAGTTAAAGAATAACTGTATAACATTTAATATTTCTTTTTACGAATAAGAAATTATTTGACAAATACTTTACAAAAGGTAACAAATAATAAACTACAAATAGTAAACTACTTATGTTAGTATTGTCATTTCATCGTTCAATATGTAAATGAAGAAATATAAATCAAAAGTGCGTTACACATTAAGTTTAATTATTAATTTAATTTATAATATAAGAATATCATTTGTTAAATTTGAATTAATTACATTTTCTAGCATACACAGACACACCATGAATTTACGTGAGCCAAAAAAAAAGAAAGGATCAAAAGCAGTGTATAAATCTTCCATACCAATTACATTAAATAAAGGAGAATGGATTGTTTATACAGCTCATCTTACAGATTCCGGATCATGCATTAATAATCCGGATGAAATTGCAGCAGTTCATTCCATGGTTTGTCATTATCTTCAATATATATTTTATTTTGAAACTTATAAAATATATATAAAATGATTAAAAAAACAAAAAAAGAAAGGATTCAATATTTGAAGAGTTTAAAACACTCGCCAAGATGAATAAAACATGATTGAAACTTTTAATTTGAACTTAGGGGTTTTTTGGTAAAGGGTCTTTATCACGAGGTTATCCAACATTTGGTAAAGCTCGATATAATGCACCACCAATAATCAGAGATAGACAATGGGTTCGTCGACAAGCATGGTTACAAGAAATTAAATTACTTAGTAGCTCTGCCGATACACCAAATGAGTTTGAAGATGCAGAAGAAAAGAAAGGTATCATTTTCATGCTAATTATCTAATTAAAAGACTGTATAAAAGAAAAATGAAAAGATACCTATTTCATTATTATTATTATTATTATTATTATTATTATTATTATTATTATTATTATTATTATTATTATTATTATACTCAATATTGATTCTTTTGATTTGTACGATAGAAGAACCATCCAATAATGAAAAGAAATCAGAAGAATCAGATATGATGGATATTGATGCAAATGTATCTAACAGTACGACAAATGAAGACAATAACAAACAAATATTTAATGATAATGAAGTCTGCGAAATAGTTCCTTCCTCCTCTGAAGAAGATATATGCATAATTGTTAATAAAGAGTCTGATAAAGATATTGACAAAACAGTTAGTAAAGAAAGCGATGAAACAATTTCAAAAGATGAATCTATTGATTTGGATAATTCAGATAATTCGGTAACAACAAATACACTAAACGACAGTGACAAATCTGATGTACAACAACAATTGTTAGTTCTACCAGACAGCGATTCAGAAACAGAAAATTATTTGGAAAATGTCAAGCCAAGAATTGAAATGGAAAGTTTTCCAGTTATGGAATCCTTACATATGTCTTACGAAGAAACATTTTTCCTTATGTTCGCTTTAGATTGTCTACAAGTAATACATTTTGATGGTTCTTTAATGGACATTCATAGCGCTTGGTTGTATTTTTGCGAAGAAGATAAAAATTTTATACAAAAATATGTTGCATACCATTATTTCCGAAGCAAGGGTTGGGTTGTTAAATCAGGTCTTAAATATGGAGGAGATTTTTGTCAGTATTTAACTATCTTATATAATTTAAACCAAAATCTTGATATATGTCATTTTATAGATATAAATGATTTTTAAATTTTTATCATTTTAGTATTGTACAAACAAGGGCCATCGTTTTATCATGCCTCTTATATAGTTATAATAGATGTTGTGGATGCAGATTCATTAATTACAATTCCTAGTAAATCTTCCCGAAAAACGAGTTGGGGTAATTTAATTGGATTAGATCGTTTATCTGAATGTGCTGCCAAGGTAACATACATAAATCATATGTAATAAAGTTTGTACGTTTCTATTATTAATTTATCTACTAAGGAATACTGATTTTATTATTAGGAAATATTATTTGCCCAAGTTTTGTGGCCTTCATCGATCTCTTTAAATTCTGGCCCATCGAATCCACATATGTTATCCGAATTCACAGTAAGAGAATTATTATGGAGACGATGGAACCCAAAACAAAGTCAAGATGTAATGATCGTAGAAGAAGAAGAGGATGAAGATTCGTGTTAAGATTAGTTTATATACATCATTTACTTTGAAGTTTTCTATAACAAAAAGTAAAAAATCCATATTTTCTATTTCATTTATTTCTTAAAAATTAAATTTTGTACTTCATTAAAATATCACGATCTTTTAATGAATTAAAAATTCATTAATTAACTCTATCTAACGTTAATAAAAGAAATAATTAGAAATAGTCTATAAATAATTAGAAATATGCATTTTTTAAATTTGTATTTCAATATAATTATAAATAATTTAATACTATTTATTTATAATTCTAAAGGATTATAAACTAAAAAGATATTATTTCTTTAATTTATATTACGTCGATTGTTCTTTTTCCATCTTTCGTAATTTTTTAGGTACATTTGTTCTTCTAAATTCACTTCTTTCTTGAAGGTACATTTGTTTACATTCTTCTTGAAAATCTTTGTTATTATACCATTGTTCTAAACAGTGCTTTAATTTATTATTTTCATTTTTACAGTTGAATACAAATGACATATTATTCTCTTGACAACATTTTTTGAATTCTGTGAAGAAAAAAAAAGAAAAAAGTATCTATATGACAATTAAAAACATTAAATAATTAAATGAATTCCAGAATTACCTTCAACTTCTAAGAAACATTTTTCTTCTTTTGCTCTATCTCGCATTATTTGTGGTATAAGTACATTTATTTCAACCTTCCTTAAACTTGTATCATTAGGATCACCTGTACATAAAAATTGAATTATATTTAATAAATTAAGAAAAATAGAAAGAGAAAAAAAACTTATAAATTACAACAAAATAATAATCATAATTTCTTTCTTACAATTTATTTATTAGATACATTCATTCAAAGTTAACCTATTCAAAATAATGATTACATATGATAAATAAAAATAAACTTCATATTTGAATTGTAAGACATATATTTAAAAAAAAAGAAAATATTTGACAATTTTTATCATTAGAATTACCTATTCCATGAGGACCTAATGAATATTTAGGTGAAAGGATTTCGTTTGGTGTATTTGTTTCCATTGCTGTAAAAAGTAGTTACTTTTAATTCCGCCATTGTAAGCATTGAATACCCCGCGCTGGTGAGTGTGCATATTTGAGAGTTGTCAGTTCATTAGAAATGGTTCTATTATCATATCTGTGCATTTAAATATAATAAAAATTACATATTCATTATTTATTAACGTGAATTTGAATTATTTGTGGTACGTAAAATATTTCAAGTTTAATCTCATAAGAAAAAAATCTATAATAAAGCAAAGATATAAGTTAACCTCAATTATGTGCTACATCAATCTCTATGTAACTTTAAATATTTCTTAGATAGTTTGTTACAATTGTTTATTAATTATCTAAAATATTTTATAGATAAAGAAAAATGGATCGACTTCTAAGACTTGGTGGTGGTTTACCTGCTCCATTAAATCAAGGACCTCCCCCATCAGATGCACCTGTAGTTGATACTGCAGAACAAGTATGTCACTTGTATTTCATTCTAATTTGTTTATTCATTTATTATTTTGTAAATAATAATATATTTCAAGGTGTACATCTCATCACTTGCACTTTTAAAAATGTTAAAACATGGTCGAGCTGGAGTACCGATGGAAGTTATGGGTTTGATGTTAGGTGAATTTGTAGACGATTACACTGTTCGTGTAATTGATGTTTTTGCTATGCCACAAACTGGAACGGTAATAACTGATGAATATATATTTTTTTAAATTAATACCTTTAGTTATCTATTATAGATGTATTCCTTAATTGTTTAGGGAGTTAGCGTAGAAGCTGTTGATCCAGTCTTTCAAGCCAAAATGTTGGATATGCTTAAACAAACTGGTCGACCAGAAATGGTAGTAGGTTGGTACCATTCTCATCCAGGATTTGGTTGTTGGTTATCTGGAGTAGATATCAACACACAGCAATCATTCGAAGCACTCAGTGAAAGAGCGGTAGCAGTTGTCATTGATCCTATCCAATCTGTAAAAGGAAAAGTTGTCATTGATGCATTTAGATTAATCAATCCTAATATGATGGCAAGTATTTCTTAAGAATAACAAAATTCTAATTTTATATAAATTGTATATATAATATTTGAAATATTTGTTCAGGTTCTAGGACAAGAACCTCGTCAAACTACATCTAATTTAGGTCACCTACAGAAACCATCTGTCCAAGCCTTAATACATGGCTTAAATCGTCATTATTATAGCATTAGTATCAACTATCGTAAAAATGAATTAGAACAAAAGATGTTATTAAATTTACATAAGAAAACTTGGATGGATGGTCTCACTCTTGCCGAATATTCAGAACATAGTAGACTCAATGAAAATATTGTTTCTGAAATGCTTGAACTTGCTAAAAATTATAATAAGGTATGTTCGATCGTATTTTTGAATAAATTATTTTACTTAGACAAAAAAATAAGATACTATTTATAAATTTATAGGCATTGGAGGATGAAGAAAAAATGACACCTGAACAATTAGCTATTAAAAATGTTGGTAAACAAGATCCAAAACGTCATCTAGAAGAGAAAGTTGATACACTTATGGCTACGAACATTGTACAATGTTTGGGAGCTATGCTTGATACAGTTGTATTCAAATAATTATTTCTTAAACTACATATTGATATATGATCTTTAAAATAAATTTTTTTAAACAGAGATTCAGGTATATTTTTTGTATTTTCATGATTTATAACGTAATTTTTGTTTAAAGATATTTTCATTTATGTTCTCTTTCCTGTTTTCTTATAATATTGTTTTTATAAACTCATATAAATAACATATTAGGTTTTGAAACATAATACTGGCTTGAAAGTACAAATACATGAAAACCAGAGACAAATTTTTCATCGACAAATTATATTATTCGATATCGAAATATATTATTATCAAAAATCGTATATTATTACTAAATAATTGTCTTTACTTGAATGTATTTACATTACATTCTTTAACATTTTCAGATATAATTAAAAATTAATAATATATATATAGAAATTCTACAATTGTAGATAAAACAAAAATATTGTTTATAATTATGTAGATGAAAGGAAGGAACTATTGATTTAGTATCTATTTTTCATATCTCTAGTTTACAATAAAACTATAATAGAATGAAATTAAATGTCTATTAGATGAAATCATTTATGCAGTTTACTATATAATTATTAGATCACACACAATTATATCAAAATTGGAAAAATATAATACGATACCACCTATACATTATAAAATATAACTATATTTTATATATATATGTGTATATACACGAAACAATCTCAGTAAAATATTAATTTTATATCATTCTTAATTAAAGTATATATTTGCAAATCCGCAAAAAGATAGAAAATTTGATTTTGTATATCATTGAACACTACACGTTGTACAAAGTTATTCATTATGTAGAAAAATGTTTGTTAAACATTAATATTTATCAGTATAATAACATCGTATTATTATAGAATTTACATCATTATAAAATGATGAACATCAAATTATTCTAATCAAATTTTAAGCGATGACATCTTTTAAAATAAAATTCAAAAAGAATTCAAATAAAAGATCTTTCCTAATGACATATTTCGATATTATTTATGGGATGTCAGCTTACATTATTAAAAATATTTTCTAAAATTTTCAAAATAAGTATATTAAACTAGCTTGAAGGAGTTGATTCTTTTTCCTTAGATTTCTTCTTTTTCTTTTTTTTCTTTTCTTCTTTTATAGATATATCCTAAAAAGGAAAAAAGAATTAAAAAGTTTGATTTTTATTCATTAATAATTATATATTAATCTATAAACTATTTCACAACGATGAATTTATTCTTACCATCATATTTTCATCTTCTATCTTTTCAGATACTGTTGTAGATTCATCACCTTGTGCATCTTGTTCTTTCTTTTCTTTTTTCTTCTTTTTTTCTTTCTTTTCTTTCTTTTTCTCTTTTGTTAATGATACATTTTGATCTTCACTTTCTTTTTTGATTTCACCTTCTGTCATAAGAGTTTCTGTAGGAGTTTCTGTAGGAGTTTCTGTAGGAATTTCTGTACGAATTTCTGTACAAGTATTTGTAGGAGTTTCTGTAGAAGTTTTTGCAAGACTTGTTTCATCATATTTCCTTTTTTTACCAACAACTACTGATTCATTATTTTCAAACTGTAACATTATTTTTCAATTTGTACTTACTGCAAAATCGTCATTAAAATGCATAATAGATCAAAAGTTTCAAAAATTACCTTAAATTCAGCTGTTGCAGTATAATCAGTATAATTCTGTAACCAATCAGATGGTGTATTCTCGTTAGGTTTACCATGTTTATCCAATTTTCCTTGAATAATCATTTGCTTTTTAACAGATGCCTTAGGTCCCAAACCCCATTTTCTTGGATATGTATCCCTCTCCATGATAACACGTTTAATTTTAGCTGCTACTCCATGATCACAAGTGACAATTGTTGATGAAGTCATTAATGCTATAGCTGTGAGTAACCAAATAAAATATTTATTGAAGTTGTGTAGAACATTGGCTATATACTATTTAAAAATCAAAAATTTACCAAGTGCTATAGCTTCGCCTTTTGTTGAAACAAGTACAATTTCTTGATTCATTTGAATATCAGGATCATACATCAATATACCAGGTATCATTAATTTAGCTCCATAACAAATAGCATTTACCTATAAATATATTTTATATTATAACATTATATTATATATACGAAATTTTAACTTATTTTGTTGTTTTTAAAAGTATTGTATACATACTGTACTATCTTTGACAATTATTCTTTTATGGTTTACTAGAAGAGATTCCAGTGGCTTAATAATTCTTCTCAAATAAGATTCATCCCCATGATTTTCATATAACCATTGAGCATCAAGAATATCATGCATAGTAACCATATTATCCTCTTCAGATTGAATACCAGAACGAACTCTTCGTAAATCTTGCATTTGACAACCGGTACCCAAGAAAAGTCCAAGATGTACACATATAGTTCTAATATATGTACCAGCTTCACATTTGATGTGAAAAACTCCCATATTACGTTCTTCGTCATAATCTAAAAACTTGCTATCATATACGGTTCTAACACGCAATTGACGTTTGACTGCAGATATAAGAGGAGGTCTTTGGAACAATGCACCACGTAATTTTTCCAATGCTTGTTGTACCTACAATGGTATATGTATATATTTATAAAAGTAACTATATAATGCATATATATGAATTTGTATACATAAATAAATTTACTTTTGCAACACTTTCAGGTGCTGAATGGAGTTTAAATACTCCCACATACTCTTTTCCTGCAGATTGTTGAGACTTTGCCAATCTCGTTGCTCTATCAATGCAAACTATCAGGCATCCCGATACTTTAGGATCCAAAGTACCCGAATGGCCAGTCTTTTCTACTTTCAAAATTCTTTTAATCCAAGCTACGACCTCATGCGAAGATGGATTGCAAGGTTTATCAAGATTAATAACACCTCCTTTGATATATTCAGCTAATGACCGATTAAGAGGAGTGGAACCACTGGTTAAAGGAGTAAAATGTTTTGTTCGAGTTAACATTTTATCAAAATTCTGAAATAATAAAATGTTATTTTCATACCATCAAAGTAAGTACATATATATCCAATAATAATATAAAATAAAAAAATTATCATAAGCAATAAAAATATTTATCAACAAGTAGAATGCACATACTTTAAATAAAAGTGGCCAATCCTCGCAATTTAATTTAACTTTTTCATCAGACGGTTTTAATTCGCAATCCATAGCGAGTTGCATCTCTCCAAGAGATTTCTTCTTATCCTTTTTCTTACTTTTTTCTGAAATACCGATATCCATATTAACTTCTTACCTAACCTTAATATATACTTTTTACAATTTATTATTTCACATATGAATAAATGATAAATAATCAAAATAAAAATAAAATAGTGATGACAGAACAATATATATATTGATTTTTAAGAAAACAAATCTATAAAATAAAATAAATTGATAGACCGGTTAAACACGTGTTTATTGAAACGTGGTTACAAAAGGCGCGAGAAACGCGTATTATTTCTCGAGCTAAATAATTTGTGGAAAATGACACAAGTAATGTAAATAATTAACAGAATTGGATTGAATATAATTAACAATTAAAATAATTACCGTTTTCTGCCATTTTTGTAGAAATTATCAAACAATTTGATAAATTAAACACGTGGTACACAACACACTAGACAATACCAATGTACATACAGGTTATAGGCTATACCCTCCATAATACAGGCGTTTTAGAAAAAGCTGCCATATCGATATCGCGAGAATATATCGATATGTTCGTATCGATTAAACTATTGATCGACACATTTCGATTTACAATGATTAAATGCCACAATAATAAAAAGTAAAAGTATTATTAGAAAATGTTCTCAAAATTTGTACAATTGTTAACTTAAAAATATATTCTTTTGTTAAATAATTCATAAATAATACATCCAACATTTGTTTTCTATATGAATTTGTTTAATTCCAAATTTGAATAATGTAACTAATGGTTTCTTAATTTCCTATTTCTAATCAGAGGGCGCCACTGTCCAGGTTCCTTATTAACGCGGTAAACTGTAGAGGAGTTAAAGTAAGAATCGAAATAAATAAAATATTACAGATGCCGATTATCAATGCATCATGTTTGTACCAAACTTAGAAAAAGAATTTTACAATGCAATACAAAGAGAAGTAAGTTTTATTGCTTTATGTTAATATATATATATTAAAAATAATAAATTAGATTTTCCTTTTAGGTTAAATTATAATGTATCTTTTGTTTTATAGTTTCGAATGTATAAATAAAACATTTATGCACATGTATTTATTGAAAGAAAATATAATATTAATAATATTTAAATATTACAAAAATCATAACATTTTGTTTAATTTCATTGATATTATGTAATATTAAGATTGAAATAATTGGATAAAATGAAATTAAAATATTGATAATGTATTCAAATAATAAATCATTTATATATTTTTCTTTTAATACAGAGATGTTTATTATTAGTAAACTTTGATGTAGATGCAATTTGTGCCTGTAGAATTTTGCAACAATTATTTAAAAATGATAACATATTATATACGCTTGTACCTGTGCAAGGTATACAAGATATGGTTCAAGCAATAGAAGAAAATTGTGAAGAGGTAAAGATAATATATATTTTTATTGAATTCATTCATTTCTATTAAATAAATTAATGTTATTTTTTATTTAGGTAAAAAATGTTATTATGATAAATTGCGGTGGTACAATAGACTTAGTTGAACTTTTACAACCTCCAGAATCTGTAATATTTTTTATAATTGACAGTCATAGACCATATGATTTGTGTAACATATATTCAGAATATCAAATACGTATTCTCGGAAAGCCAGATACTGAAGACGAGATTCCAGAATATAATGACGTGTTCAGGGATGATTCAGTAAGTATTGTTATTTATTTTTATCTTAAATATTATTTATGTAATAACATAGTTTTATTCTTTTTAGTCAGAAGATGAAAGTGATTCAAATGAGAACTCTGATAATAGTGATAGTGAATCCAGAAGACCGAAAAGACGTAGATTAAATGAAGAAGATCTTTTAAAAAGAGAACAAAAAAGATTGTGGACTGAAAATAGAGCAAATCTTCTTTTTAATTATTCACAGTATAGCTATTATGGAAAGTCTGTACGTATTAAATAGAAAAAATATATATAATGTTTATAAATATAATATATATTTCAAAACAATATGAATTTATAGAGTGCAGTTCTTATTTTTGAAATGGCTTGGCACATGTCTAAAGATAATTTGGACATGCTATGGTGGGCTATAATTGGTTCAACTGAACAAGCCATTCTTAGTAAAGTAGAATCACAAACAAGTATACTTGAAGAAGGTACACTTCAAGCACACGTTTCAAGATTATCTCATAAACAAGGTATAACTAATGATAATCCATGTGGACAAAGTGTAGTTAGAATAACTTACGATAAAGAGTATCCTTTTGTATATATTATTTTAAATCTAACTGAATATAAAATGCAGTAAGTAGTTTCCTGATGAAATTCATAGTCTTCGACTTGTACTTTATCGTCACTGGACCGTCGAAGCAAGTCTTAGACATTCAATGCCAACTGCAGTATCGCTACGGCTTTGGTCTATTAGAGGAGAACAACGTCTGAAAGAACTTTTAGCAGAAATGGGTTTACCGTTAGCGCAATCAAGACAACGTTTCACTGCTATGGATCTCACACTTAGACATGAATTTAGGCAAATGGTAGAAAAACTTGCTGGAAAATATAATGTTGATAGAATTATTGGTACTAGTTTTACATTACAATATGGTTATCGGTTTAAATACTGTGCCTCTGATATAGTTTACGCGATGCTAGCATTAATAGAATCTACGGTAAGTTATTTTCTTTTTAGATTAAATCAAAAATTTCATTATTTACTTATATTTATATTTTTTATAGACAAAGGACAGATTACCGCAGCGTTGTTTCTTGGATGCATTGGATTGTTTGTCACGTACTAAAAAAGAACTTTTAGAAAATGGTATAGAAAAAGCAAAACTGATGCTTAGCAACATTTTTAAGACAGCTCAAATCATATTAGAAATGAAACAAATTATGAATACCGGTTCATTTCTTTATGTTATTGTTCCGGATGGTACTTTAGATAGTCGTTTATTTGCTCATCCTCATCCATTGATTATGCTAGCTCAATTCACTTTAAAAGCGTATGTACATTCATGTAAAAGTAAGCGTGCACGTGAATGGCCTATGATTGCGTCAGCTTTATTCAATCCTGAAGAAGGTACATGTTTGATAGTCGGCATTCCACCAATATGTGAAGATCAACCACGAAGGTATTATATATATATATATATATATATATATATATATGTTTTACTATTATTAATTGAAATAGAAATACAATGTATATTTTTTTCTTTTTTAGTCTATTTGGGAAAGCGTTTGAACAAGCAGCTAAAAATACAGGTTCATATATAAATGCGGATTACTTTGATACAACAAGTAAGATTTGTTTAATTATATACATGCATTATCGTTCTATAATGTTTCATAAGATTTTTTTCTTACAGTAGTAAGACTGAAGGTCGAAGAGAGACCAAAATTTTTTGATGCTCTAGCAGCACTTCTTACTTAATCATAAGATTAAATTAATTGTCAATGTGTTATAACAATCATGTGAATTTTACAAAGTATGACTATAAGAGATGCATTTAGTACGTATAATTTATTTTCTTTATGTAACACTCTACAACATAATATTATTTTAACATTAAGAACGCAAATGATTAGGTATTGTAATATATATATATATAAATGTACATTTGTATAGTTGTATATCATAAATAAGTGCACTAGTGTTTAGTGTGATTGATATGAATGCAAGTGAAGTGTATTTGTTGATCGAAAGTTTTTATTGACTTAACATAGAAAAAACGTGAAATATCATTAAGATTGAATTTATATTTTGTGTGTTTTTATATTATTTTTAATATTATTGTAAAAGTAAAAAAATTAAAAAGAAAGAAAGAAAGAAAAAACAAAAAAATCAAATAGTACAATAGATATTTATATTTGTAAAAAAAAAAGAAAAAAAAAACAAATGGTAGGACAAGAGGAGTAATTAAAACACATCTGTGTCTAACATCAATTTATTATTAACAAAAAACAATAGATAATAAAAGCTTGAACATATAAAATTAATGTTTTATGTCTTCTTCTCATAAGTATAAAAACTAAATAATTATAGGATGTTTTTGAAAGTCTACAAATGTTGCCTAATTGGCGTTTATTAAGTAATACATATATAGTTATATATTAACGTATTCATTGTGCGTGTGTGCACTTAAAAATACAATTCGCTTGTTGTTTTATTTTGGGGCTATGATACAATACATAGTCTTTTGGTTATTTCTATATATAATTATAAGTGTGTGATTACAAACACAATTTTCACGCAAGGTCTTCTTTCTTATGAAACGAGCTACTGCTATAGTATCACAGAGATGGATATAAACAGTGAAAAAGGGAAGAGGGCGATTTTCATCGTGGTTATATAATAATTGAACGTTCGTAGACTCGAGTGCTCGTTCATATATTATAAAAACAAATTTAATCAATTTTAAAATTTAACATACATATAAAAAAAGAAATTCAATTATAACGAAATAAAAAGAAAAGAAAATTAAACAAAAAAAAAAAAGATATATTTCTACAACATATTGCGACTTTAATCATTGAAATATTATAATTATTATCATATAGCTGGCACAAGTAAATACTAAGAACATATAACAAGACATATATGTAATATATCATATTACTAATATATATGTCTTCTTAAATAGGCATGCAGCATATTCTCGTTAGAATCTTTACACATAATATGAAGCGTTAGAAAAATGATACACAAGTGTAAGTGTTCAATGATATTATGTACGAAATACGAATACGAATATTCGTTGTTTTCATTTTTCCATCTCATAAATAATCGCGTGTAATTTTGATAAGAGAAAATATTTGTCTTTAACGTTTAAGTATTAAAAATTGAAATTCTTTACATTTTTAGGCACAAATAGGTAGAAGAGTTGTCTATTAAATGCGAATATTCGATGATTTATCATTTGATAAAGTTTATATGTATAATGTGTTTATTTTCGCACGTTTAAGTTTTAATGGAAATTGATGATGCGATGATAAACGAGTGACTAGAACTTGTGCCAGCTTCAAATTCAGACTCGATATTTTATTTAAGCTACGAGCTTGCTGCTTATTGCTTGATTGATTTGGTAACCACATCATTAATTAGACACTTTGACACCACTCACATTTTTTGGAATCAGTTTGAAGATCGTTTTTTGTTCAGGCTGTGACATTATCATTTTTGGGAGCTTTGTGTACCGCCACTATCTTATTTTTAGGTAGTTTGTCACTACGAAATCCATCGACGAATTGTTGTACAGAATCTACTGTAATTTCAGCACCATCTTCCATTACCACATAAATTCCTCGTGGTATATCAATAGCCGTCAAAAGAGGTACCGCATCGTCCAAACCAACAAATTCACGAAGAATATCCGACGTTTCACACTGTACAAATAAATTGCATAAGAAGAATTTAGAACATAATATTAATGATAATATAAATCACGTAACATTTGAATTTTGTCATATTTACATCTAAAGCTATATAAAATTGTAATATGCCATCAGGATCATCATAATTGGGATCATAATCTGGACGATCTCTTCTGTAAGCCTCAGCGGCAGGTAACAATACACTTTCTGCGAATTGTATTTCACAATCATCTCCCTCTACAAATGAATATACAATGTAATATTTTATTTATATATACACATATATTACATAGGATAGACAATAGGTGTATCCGAATTAGACTGTAACTTTGTTTCTTTTTGCAGACAAACAAATTAATGTTGCATTATTTAATCAAGTTAATCTATCATTCAAATAATGCAACTGTAGCAAATTTCTATGGATACACACAAAGACACATACCATATTTGGTTTAAACGTATCGTTATTTAATATTTAGTTTAATATTTATTTACCAACAAAGAGTATGATCGCTGGTGCATCGTGCAACGAGGTCGCATATTTTTCTGTTAATATATTAACCAATCGACTGGTCCATGGAAAATTCTAAAATGCATAATTAAATAGAAATAAAATGAATAGAAAACTATAGGGTATACAAAAATACTATATTAAGAAAACAAAAAAGAAAATCAAGATTAATGAAATATTTACCAATCCTTCAGGATCCTCCAATAACTCAGCTCTACCATCGAGTGTAATAATATTATCCCGTGGATCAAGAATTACCAAGGTTGGTATTGCTTGAACATCCAAAGCTCGAGCCAATTTTCGACGTCTTTCTTCCTGACTAAAGGGTATCCTAAGCCAGGGCATTGTTTCTGTATAAGTATTGTAGGATTCCTCGCTTCTACAATGAGATAATAAAATATGAGAAACCATTTTAAATCCACGAAGCAATTCATAATCACAGGATAACAGAGACATTAAATGAAAATAAAAAGTAATTTTACCTATCGGAGCTCACGAAAATGACTTCAAAATCGTGTCCTCTTTCTCGAATTCGTTGGTAAGTATCCACGAGTTGTGGTGTAAATGCTTTACAAGGGGGACACTAAAATGGAAATAAAAAAACTAATGTATTATATACTTAAATATGCATTTCATTTATATTTTAGAGAAACCTCGATTGAAATTTCTACTAAAGAAGAAAAATTCTACACGAAGTAAATATACATTCAATTTAAATAATTTATTTATTTTACTTATAAATATTGTAATAATTTTTTCTTGTTTTTTTTGTTTCCTATTACTCACCCAATGAGCACTGAAGTAAACACCCTTGAAACAATGTCGAAGTTCCTCATGTAACATTGGCTCATTGCTGTCGCGAGCACCACAAGGCAGCAAAGGTCCATCTTCCAGGGCAGCTTTTGGATGTGGTGGTTTCCAAGGGAATTCGGCGCCAGTAGGATCGGCAATGGTTCGTTCTACACCACCCCTTGTTACGACCGAACCATTTGAACCCTCGAGTAAAATCAACGTGGGCACTCCTGCCTTTATCCGATACCTTCTCGTAAGCCTAGTCTAGAAAAAACATTGCTGATCATTCATCTCGTACGAGTCTCTTTCTTCTTTTATTATCGCTCAATAGGTTTGCTGTTTTATTTTAATTTATCGAATAAATTATCGATAATAAAACGATTATTGAAAAATATGTTTATTATATTTTTTTTTTAAACTCAATTCCATTAATTGTAATGCATTTTATTATTATTTTGTAGAAATAAAGCGGTTTAATGAGAATGAATTGCAAAAGGTTTAAAATTGTCCGGAAGAGAACAATAATTCCGTATGGATGCTTTAACAGAAGTTTCGAAGATCGTACGAGACAAGGATGGAGGGATGGATGATGAATGGATACATATCCGATGAAATACGAGAAGAAAAACTCACAGTTGCGTTTCATGAGTTGCTCTAATTTTTTCTTTCCCGTTTTCCTCTTCATTTGTCTTTTCTTATTTTTTATCTCTTTTGTTGGGTTAGATAAAAAAAAAAGCAGAATGAATTGAAGAAGAGGTAGAAATACGTTGAGATTTATCGATTGTGCGAGGCTTATCGCGAACGAGCAACGAACAATGCACAAATCATACGAGAACAAGAAGAAGAAAAAAGAAAAAAAGGAGATAGAAAGAGATAAAGGAAATGTTCAACTTGGTCTTCTCATTGGTAGTCTTAAAAAAAAAAAAACGTTACAACCCCGAAGGTAGTAGTAGGTGGTGTAAAGGATAAGAAGGAGTGTAGGAAAAAGGGAGCGGTGGTGTCTGCCGACAATGAGTACTGTCTCTCCTGTCAGGTCGCGTGATTACAGCCAAGGATGAGAAGAAAAAGGAAAAGGGCTCTTCTACGATACTAGCGACGGATATAATGTCAAAGGGTCTACGCATTCTTCGAGTAGACAACAACATGGTGCAGTTCTGACAACAGCAATAATAGTAACGGCAAAAGTAGTAACAGCAGTAGGTAGTAACAGAAGTAGTTATACGAAACCAAAAGAGAACTTCGTAGACACGATTCAATCTGTAATATTAACAACTTTAAAGTTCACGCAAATCGATCGAAAGTCTCGTTACATCTCGGAAGAGACATTTAATATTAATTAGCAGAGGCTTCTTGCAACTTGACACACGCTACAACTTTCGAATAAAACTTTACTGAAATACAGGTAAATTTGTTTAACCGTAATATTAGAGTCATGATTTTTGATATAAAGTAACAAGTAAAATATTATACTTTGTAAATGTAATCTAATCAAAGTAGTATATTTTTAATTTAACCATGCAAAAGATTAGTGTTTCAATGTTGCTTATCTAGATGATAAAAATACTGATTATAATAGAAAGAAAAAGAGAGAGAAATCAGGAGAGAGAATATCATCAGAGTCTCAGGGACCACTCTTACAACTATCGTCCTCTGGGATCTCTTCTTCCCTTTACGCTCTTTCGCGTACTTGGAAGGATATGCGAAATTTCCTAGGGCGATATGGGTGCAAGGAGAAGAAGGGTGTTAGGAGAGAAAGAGAAAGAGAGATAGAGAACCGATATAAGGCGGCAAGAGGGTGAACTCGAGGCACCAAACGTGCGACGGCGTACGTTATCGCGACCCTCTCCTCCTCCTTCTCTTTCTCTCAAACACACACACACACACACACCGTGAAGGCATTACTTTTCTCTCCCCGCGTATATTTTCATAGCTGCTACTGCTACTGCTACTGCTGGTGGTGATAGCGATGGTGATGGTGGTGGTGGTGGTAGTAGTAGTGGTGGTGGTGCTACTGCTGTTGCTCTACTCCGTTTGTCCGTACCGGAGTATATACGTGTACGAGTTGGTTTGCCGCCTCCGTCTCGGCCGGTCGATAACGTGTACGTCCTCCCTTGCTGTTGCTGCCGCGAGCTCGACGGTGCTATCGTTATTTCCCCCGACAGTGTGGATGTCCCCTACCACCTTCTCTCCTCACTCACCCACCCACCCCCTTCTCTTCTTCTCACCCTTTCTACCCCTACAATTTTCTCTCTCTCTTTCTCTCTCTCTCGCTCGCTCATTCTTCCTTTCACTCCAACACTCTCACGCGCCAAATAACTTCTTTCTTTTTCTCTCTCTCTCTCTTTCTTTCTTACTCGTACCATTTGCCACATCGCGAGATCAGCAAAACGGGATAGAAAGAGATAGAGAGAAGCAAAGTTAGAAGGGTGGGAAACGGATCACTGTTGACTCGTTCACGCTCGTTCAAACGTCTCTCCTCCATGTAGGTATACACGGGATCGTGGTCGACCAACGGCGACGACGACGACGACGACGACAGCGTCGGCGTCGGCGTCTCCGATGGAGATTCAAGCGAACGACTGAACGATGCTCCTTTGATCGAACTCTTCTTCTTTCTTCTTCTTTCTTCTTCTTTCTTCTTCTTTCTTCTTCTCTTTTTCTTCTACTATTTCTCTACTTCTAACTTCTTAGTTTTTCTTCTCTTTCATTCTACACTATTTTTCCTCGACGGACATTCGACGTATAATTCCAGCCACAACAGACACTCCTTTTTATTTCTTCTTTCTTTTTTTTTTTCTTTGTCTGTCTTACTCATCCTTTGCTTTCTATTTCGATCGATAGCGATTATGAAAGTCGCGTTTATATTAGAGATGAGAGAACGGAATAAAGGGATCGACGTGAAAAGGTATTCTCAATGAGAAAGACAGAGAGAAGAGAGAGGGTATTTTCCACGGTAATGTTTAGTATAACATTTGTGTAGAGAGTCGATACTGTATAACAGACACACGGTTATGTGGCTGCTAACCCTCCAAATATCTCTTTGTTCCTGTATTTTCATTTTCTAATGATATGTAAAATATCTCTTTTAATGAAATTCTATTTATTCTTCACGGCGTATCCTATTTGTTAATATTCGTCAAAATTATTTTGTATATTAAATTTGATCTAATTAATGTTTTAAAAAAAAACAAATCTAAAAAGTGAAAGAACGCTAAATAGGAAACGTTATATATAAGGGATTAACTTTGATAAGACTTTTCCCGAGTATATATAAGTAACATTATTGATATATATGTATGTATAGTACGCGTCGGGCCCGAAAACGGTGCTCTTCTCCTTTAGAAGTTCTTGCGCTTGGTGGCTTAGGGGGTCTCGCTTTGCGATCTAGCGATCTCGCGCGTACTCCACTTTTCCTTTGGCCACCAAAGCCGAGTAGGTCGCGTGTAATCTAGACGGAAACGTCGGTCTGAAAGAACGGGGGATGAGGGAGGGATGTTGGTGGCGAAAGGGGTTGCTGCAAAGAGTGAGTGAGTGAGTGAACGAGCGAGCGAGCAAACGAGTAAGTGAGAAACAGAGAAAACGAATGAGAGAAAAAGAGAGAGAGAATGAAAATGCATCGCTGGTAAAAACACAGAACCTCTGTGTGTGGGCACTACCTCAAAGTCTATCTAAATCCAAACGGTCCTTTATCTTTTCTTTTTCTTTTTTTTCTTCTTCTTTTTCTTTTTTTTCCCCTTAAGGCTTCAGTCGTTTACGTGGTAAAGAACCTGCTGCACATACCACCATTTCTCTCTTTCTCTCTCTCTCTTTTTAACTCTTCCTCTCACTCTCTTTCTATTTCACTACATCTCGATTTCTTTCTTTATCTCAGCGGGCGAATGAGAAAGCTATTTGCGGAAGATATGGGTCGGCTACCCCGAATGGGAAAGACTGCCGTTGGCTGTTGCTGACTGCTGTTGCTGCTGCTACTGCTGCTGCTGCTGCTGCTACTATTGCTATTGCTATTGCTATACTGATATATTCCTACTGGCGCTGAGCTGACTCTTTTTCTCAAACGTTGATGCAAAGCAAACGTACGTATATACATAACTGTATATATACTCACGTGTGTGTATATATATGCATATATACATATTCAACCAGAACGTTTTAGTTCCAGGGTCCAAGAAGATGAACGTGAGCAACAACGCGTGGGCTTATTACGCCGTTGAAGAAGCGACCGTCGTCGTGCTAGGTGGCCCTACGACATTGCAAGCTAGTTTGATAGGGAGACTGGATAAGCAGAGAAGGAAACGAGGGAGAAAGCTAATCGACGAGGACGTTCATACGAGATAAATTAAACTCTATCTCGCCTTACGTGTTTCCTTCACTTTTACTCTCTTCAATTTCATTATGTTTTATGTAAACAACAAAATCTATGACAATGGTAATGAGAATCTAATTAGATTTATTTTAAATGACTATTATCTAATTTATTTCAAACAAACAATTATCGATTAACCCTTTAATCGGTTAAACGATATAAAATTTGATCAAAAAAGAAAATATCGTTGTTTGTACTCAACAAATCTTTAAATTGCAACATCACAAATCTTAATTGAGAAGAATTAAACGTATGAATAAATTTAGGGTGTAATTTAGAGAAAAGATTCGTGAGATTATTCATGAAGACTTCTCTCTCTGTTATACTCACTCTCTCTTTCTCTCGAATCTTTCATATTTCGACTCAATTCCTGTTCGTTTTGTAGATAAAAAAGAGTGCATAAAGAGGAACGTTCATTTCTATAATGAGAAAGAAAAAAAGGAGACGACGACGACGACGACGACACGGTCTTTCTCGTCATTTTTCTTTCTCTTTTTCTTTCTTCAATCGTCGAATCGCATCGCTTCGGTGGATATCACCGGACGAAGAGGAGACAAGGATGACAACGAGGACGACGACCACGACAACGACAACAACGAAGAAGAAAAGAAGAGGATATATCAGTGTCGGCTTTATTTCTCGGTCTAATAATTTGAAATGGAGGAAAAAAGTAGCGGAGTGGAGAGAAGACTACTTGACATTAATTGCGCGCGAACCATTACCGTTAACTTTCTTCGCGTTTCCGATCGAAGAAGTCTCAGCATACATATGCATCGAGGTGAGCCAATAGCCAACCTCGAGTGCTGCTCTGGCTTTGTCAAACGATTTTTCCCAAAGGAAAAATTGTCTCGGACTATGAAGACAAGAAGAAAAGAAAAGAAAAGAAAAGAAATAAAGATAAAGAAAGAAAGGAAATTAAAAAGGGAAAGGATAAATCGCTTTTCTTGTTACTTCATAGGAAGGGATATGTTTTTATCTAAAAAAAAAAAAATAAGGAAAAATATAATGTAAGTTCAAAGATTCTGTCACTTCGTTTGTGAATTTTGTCAAAGGTACATATAAAGAGAAAGGTCGGCCTTTATAGCAACCCTTCGACGATTATTTCGCGTGTGTCGTTCGTTTGGGGAGACTTTAATAAAATCGCTCCGAAAATAGTGTAGTACCCTGTAGGCAGTTTTAACGGCGTGCGTGCGTGCATGCGTGCGTGCAAGAAAAGTAAAAGAAATATAAGAATAAGGACCTACACTCTCGTGTGTACCTTGGCGTGTTACACACGAATATGTTGTGTCGTGCGTTATCGTTACGTATTTTTCGTTGAACACACGCACCTGCTTTTAGAGTAGTTTCTAGAAATATGATGGAAAGTCCAAGAAATCATTTGGAAACATATTTCAATGTAAGGAAAAAAAAATAGAAATGTTTTAAATAAGGTGCAGGTATTTGGATAGTTCCTCTTGCATTCTTCTCTACTTTTGATACTATGTATACGATTTTTAGGAAGTGTGCAAGGGAAAAATAAAAATATTTACGATAAACGATAAACTGAACTCACTTTCCTCTCGTAATCCCGATTAGGTACGGCCAACCAGGGTAAATCCGCGACGTGATTACGAAAGCTCTCCTCGAAGTCAAGAACATCAGCCACATTACTCCAAAGTACCACGTGTACGACCTCGAACCTTTTTCTCCTTTCCCTTCCCTTGTTCGTGTTCTCGGTCGACGCGCCGCTGGCAGGAGAAATTGCATCCGTTCCCGCGTGCACTGCGTTGACATTCGCATAAAGTTCAACCAGCTGACGCGTGAAATCGTCGCAGGTTGCACCGGGATTGATGAAACTGAAGTACACACCGATAACATCGCACGCGGTACTGCCGTCCTCGTCAATTAAAGAACCGCTCGCGTCACATGGCTTCGTGTCCTGGGAATTAATCTGATTGCAACGAGTCAATTGTTTGCCGAATAATCTATGTTGCCAACATATTGGCCGGCCGTTATTAATCGACTTTTTTGTTAACTCCAACGACGCCAAAGACGATTCGCTCGACATAAGCTGATCGCCAACGCACGCGGCCGCCATACCGCGCGCCTCTTATAATCCACCAATTATTCATTCACTCGGCGACTATGCGCCGACCAAATTGTCAAAGTTTTGTCAAAAACAAACAATGATAAAATATACTATCATTATTTGTACAGTGTCAAAAACAATCAAATTTTAAAATAAACGCAACCCCCGGAACAAATGCGGAACGCAGCGGAACCCCGACTGATTCACGTTTCGTTGACTCGCGTTGGGCTCGGCGCGCTCTCCGATCGAACCCGAGTTCATCCGAATCGCCACCAAATTTACCGCCCAATGCTCTTCGTATCAACTCGGCAATACCCGGAGAGTATAGTACACCATTTTGCCCCTATGTGGCACTTTTAACCGGCGTCTCGGAAAAATAATACTGATGATGGTTGATTTGCATTATTCTTATGTATTACGTATACATTTTAATATCGTGCGATAATCGTATAATATTAGTTTATCCTTCTTATTTATCACACTTTTATTTACCCATCTATGTAAGATTTTACCCATTAAAAAATGGAGATAAGAGGACAAACTAACTCTTTCAAAAAAGTATTAAGTCACTACTCGGTTATTCCAGTTATATAAGGAAAATGTTCTAGCTAGCTAAAAGAAATTAGTATAGGTGAAACGATTTATACATATATGTATTGTACATATATAATATGTGTGTCGTATATGCACTATATAACACTTTTTAATCTTATATATATATATTATATATATATATTTTATTTATAGTAAAATGTTACAAGTTTTTCATATTCAATGAATAAATTAAAATCTATGAAGCTTATTAACGGTAAAATTGATAGTTAAATTAAAGAATTAAAGTTATGCAATTGAATTGTTGATAAGGAGTTGTTGCATTAGCGAAGGGTAATATGTGATACGCTCTCGCATAACTAACGTAAGTCCAATCGTATGTTTGTAGCTAAGCTATAACGTCAAGTGATCAATGGAACATCGCACATCGCGCTCGCGCCGTTGCACATTTCTTTCCTCCGAGTATAGAATTCCAAAGCAGCAATTCCTTCGAATGTTTATTATAACTACGCGTTAACGTAAAAATTAATTTACTATAAGTGAATAATAATAATTAGAATAAATCAAGGAAAATGACGGTATCCGTTTCCTTTTAGTCCATTATTCTTTTTTAAAATATCGATTTTGTGATATAATTAATTTGTGTAATGGAAGTACCTGTCATATAGACACACACAATCATTTTTTTTGTTAACAAGAAAAGAGGTAAGTTATGACAATTTACGTCATAAATATCAATATTGTTATTTTTTAATGCAACTTCATTTTATTAAACGAATTCATTTAGTTAACAAATATTTAATCAATATTCTCGTCAGCACTTTTACATTGCATTTCAATTTTCATTGATCAACTTTTTGTCCTCTTAATTATTCTAATTTTTTTTTTTTACTACGTCATGACCTTAATTTATTCAATGTTTAAAATTCATTTTTGTATTACTCTAAACATGTATTTGTGTCTATACTAATATTTTATTTATAATTTTTGTTTCTAAATGGTTATTAAACAAAATATCGATCATCTTTAATTTAATATTTATTGTTTTGTTACTTTAAACATTTGACGTTCAGTAGAACTTAATATGTGCAATATATATATATATATGTGTATACAAATTTGTTAAATATTAATTGTAATTTGCATTATATAGATTAATCATGAGTTCGCAACCGATAGTGGTACCTGGTGGGGATCACCGAGTACAATCAGATGCTCATTCTGTACCTTCTGGAGGATGTTCTTCTGATACATTTAAAACTATGACTCCGCCTAATGTTAGTCGGTCACTGAGCAACCGTAAGTGTTAATTCTTGATATTAGTAAAATAAATTTCAAACTAGACGATAATTAATAAAACACATTACTCTAAAAAATATCTTACAAATCAATAGATATATTTAAGATGAGATACTCTTAAGTTTAAGATCATATTAACAATAATATTGTATTAAAACTTTGAATATACAATATAATTTTGAATATATCTGTTCCATATTGTAATATGTATATTCAAAAAGTACAAAAACCAGTTGCACGTTATGTGTGTAATATTTCTTATCTATAATGTTCTTTTTTTTTTTTTTTATATCTCAATGACATTTGATCCCTTTCTAAGTAATAACATACATTTAAATTATGCATGTTCATGCCAAGAAATCCTAGGTATCATTGGTTTGTTTTTTCATAAGCTAGATTATGCAATATTTTTTTTTTTACTAGTCATAACAAATATCTAAGCTGTTCATCATTGAAACAATTCTAATCAATTTAGTTTATCTAATATTTTTAATAATATAAATTAATAGATTATTTTCTCCTACTTCTACTTTTTAGTTTTTTTTTGTTTATATTATGTTTAAAAACTATATATCTGTCTTAGATTTTGGTTTAATGTTCTACTACATTAAAAATCTTTATCAATTATTTAGTTTCTGGTCATACTATCAATGTTAAGATTATAGACTAAACATAGTAGTAATAGTGGTGGAAATATTAGTAGTAGTAGTAGTAGCAGTAGTAATAGTATTAGTAGTGTAGTAGTAATATTAGTAGCTAAACTTCAGTTGTAAGATATCCTTGACATTAAAAATATAATAATGTCTAATGTAAGTTTTGTCATTAATACACATTAGAAAGAATTGAAATCAATAAACATTTGTTTCCAACAAACTACATTTACATTATTGTTAAAACACTTATTAGATATCATAGTATCATTATATCATATTATTTGAAATATTATTACATCCATCTGAATTATTCATATCTAATAATTTAAAACTAAATGTTAATGTAATTGTATTTTTGATGATTTGAAGAAAAACACACTATATATACTATATTTTGTATTATATATAATTGTTGTAATAGATAATAGTTGCTAAAATATTTATTATTGTAATTTAAGTTTTATGTAACTATATCATGTTAAAGAAAGAAAAAGATAGAAATTTAAAGCAAGGTATATTTTATTTCACTACAAACGTTACAAGCGTAGTTCCTGAATTAATTTATTCAGAGATTCCACTTTCTTCAAATGGAATTTGGTGAAGTAAGAATTACATGCATATTGTTATTATTTGTATGTGTATATATAATTGATATACAATACATTGATTGTAATTCCTATTATTATATAAAATGATATAATTATAGAAAAATATTGTTATATATTTTTATGGACTTGTATTTTTGTATTTTGCATTCTTTTGACTACTTCATCCTTCTTATACGAGAATGGCAATTCTTATATCTTTTGAAAATCTTGAAATAGAAATGCTCTCTGGTTGAAAATGCTCTTGGCTTTTAAAATGATTTGCATGGTATTTAATGCATGTGCATTTCGATATATAATAGCTTGACAAAATGTATAATAATTATTAATGTTAGATTTAAAATGTATTATATTAATAACTATATTTTATTATTATTGCTTATGGATGAGATAAATAATGTATATTAGCGTTAGTCTTGTATTCTTAGAGTACTAACCGTAATAATATTTATGTAGTTAAAATAGATTTCGAAGTAAAACTATATATCATTTGAATTAAATCAATTGTACAATTTTGTAAACATTTATATTTGTTTTATAATAATTTATTACGTATGACATAAAAAAAAACTTAGTATTTGTAAAATGGTATAAAATTACTAATGAATATTGATTGATAAATGAAAGAACCTAAATATATAGAACCAGTGGATCAACAACAACTTCGTCCAAGCAGTGTCCATGTACAACCAATGCCTTTAACAAAACTTCCATCAACTGAATCACTTACAACAAGTGTAACTATTGCAACTGGCCCAGTTCCTGTATCTCCAGGTATAATTAAAAAGATATTTTGCAGATATTATAATGTCATACTTATCAATAATTCAGCATTTATAAGATGCTTTTTTTTATCTCTTATTTATTATCACATATTTAGTTTTTTTTTTTGATTCCAATTAATTAGGTACTTTAGTTTAACATATGGCTTATATAAAAACATGCATGTGTCTTATGTAACATTTTAATTGATCACATATATATATATTCATACATACATATTTATTTATATTAGATTATTAAGTATGAAATGTCTGATTATTCTCAGTTCGAAATTGGATATTTTAAACTTAATGACCTAATTCTTATGTATGAAAAATGCATTGCAATACTTAAAGAAATATTTATTTTTATCTTTTTCTATTATGCTCGATTAAAAATGCTCAGTTTAAAAGTATCAAGCATGTATGAAAAATGCTAAATTTGTTAATGCTTATTCCAAACACTTTTCTCTTCTATTTATTTAAATAATTAATAGGTAATTAAAATAGATAATTAAAAGATAACTTTATATTTTATAATCAATTGGAAATAATATTACTTTAAGTATATGGTATATATAATAGCATTGTTGCTGTTGTTTCTCAGTTTTTATTAAATTAAAATGTTACATTTTTAAAAATATCTTTAAATAACATGTAATATTAAGTTTATACAATTTTTAGAATTATATAAAAGATATATATATATATATTACAAAATTATTTTTATTACAAAATTATGTAAATCATCAAGAGAAAATTTGTTGTATGGAAAATCAGTAAAATAATGATTAAAATTAATGAAATTATACAATAATTTGCGTGATAAATTGAGGATATAACTCAAATGATGTGAATATTGTAAAATTCAATTATCTTATTAAAATATTAATGTTACTGTCACGTCTTAATATGTCTTCTATTGTACTTTAATGTTACAAGATGTTCTCCAAAAAAATTTGCATTATAATAAATATTATTTATATATTATATATTACGTTAAGAGTTAGGTAACGAAAAAGAAATGTAATCAATGTACTAAAAATCATCATATGTAATCAATTTAATGTAAAATGTGTGTTTATAAGTTATGCATATTATTTATTTATATATGCGTTTGCGCGCGCACGTATGCGATACACATTTGTATCAATAAAAAGAGTATAAGATTTTATATAATATACAAATATTATTCACCTATTTTAAATTTGTATAATAAGCAAGAATCATGTTAACAGATTAATGAAAATTATTGATACACGTTTCATCTAAGTAAAACTTATTTAAAATTGTTATTAATATTAACATTTAGATAACAGAATCATTAAATTATGTTGTGTCAATCATTAGATTATTTTTGTTTTAATTAAATAAATGTTATTAAAATTCAAATCAGAAATAAATCATGATATATGATTACAATCTGTTTTAGGCTTATCTATAATGGGAGAAAGCAGTCAAAAAACAGACAATACGTCGGATAAAGTACGCATTTATTTATATATTTGAGGATATTTATTACAATAACGAAAAATCAAATGTGTTCATTTTGATTTATGCATATTACTTTTGTAGTCTATGGATTCATGCAAGTTGACACGAAAGGAATCTTACAAAGCGCAGAGAAAAAATTATCGAATAGAAAAAAAACGTGTTGCTAATGAACTTCTTAGTTCATTCAAAGATCCAACCGTTATTGTAATGAGTGATTGGCTTAAAGTTAGAGGAACATTGAAGAGTTGGACTAAATTATGGTGTATCCTCAAACCTGGCTTATTATTATTATATAAAAGCCCGAAGATAAAGGTAAATGTTATTAATTTTTTCATTGGTACTATATTAAATATTATGTAAATATTACAGAGTAATCATTGGGTTGGAACTGTTTTGTTGAATACGTGTCAAGTAATAGAGAGACCTAGTAAAAAAGATGGATTCTGTTTTAAACTTTTCCACCCTTTAGAGCAATCTATTTGGGCTCCTCGAGGACCAGAGAATGAAGCAATTGGTAAATACATATAATATTACTTTTAAAATAAATGTTCATTCCACATACATACACCAGTTCTAATAATGTAATTATTTCTTTTATAGGAGCTGTGGTACAACCTTTACCAACTTCTTACTTAATCTTCAGAGCACCTTCTCAAGCTGCTGGTAAATGCTGGTTAGATGCACTTGAACTTTCTTTAAGATGCTCTTCGTTAATTGTACGTTCAACTAGTGCATTGCCACGTTCTTTACAACATGATGCAACGACTACTCACGAAACTCAATGGAGTGAGGCAGATTATGAAAAACATTTTGATGAACATGGTGAGTTTTATTAATTAATTTTATGCATGCTTGGGTATTTATCGTGATTATAGAAAATGGATTGTTTTTAATAATATACATATTTAAATATGTGTAAATAAAAAAAAATAAAAAAAGAAAATGTATGTTTTAAATATTGTGTATAATAATAACAAGTTAGATAAAATGCTTTACATAGTTGCTATAAGTAGTTATTTGTTCTCATATAAATTATTTTCACAGAATATTTTATCTGGTGTTTCTTTTATTTATTTATTTTTTTTTAAATTAATACAAAACATTAATCATAATTAAATTTAATCTCATAATCAGAATACACTTATTTTTCTGTTTATAATCAAACTTATAACTAAAGGATAATCATTACAAGTATAATTTAAAAATAACATGCTTTTAATGATCAGAATTGAATGTTACTAATACATTTAAAATTATTATCCTTTCCTACTCTTCTTCATTACCCTACAACAAATGGGGAACACATGCTTCATAATCCAGTAGTATGTTTAAGCCAATATGCACCTAAAACTCCCACGACACCTCAAAGGCGCTTATTGTCATGTCCACAGCCAATCTCACCTGCTATAGCGTGTCATCCTAAAAGTGTTTGTCCTTCACCAACTCCAATGTTTCAACAACTTTACCATGCAGTTGCATACTGGGAAAAACAGTTTCGCGATAAATCTCCTACACCTACTACAGATCCAGAGATTATTGTGTCTTCAGTTTCTATCGATGAACCAGATGGTGGGGGTACTCATCCTAGCATGTCTGGTTTTTCATCTTCTGCTTCTGCACCTGATCCATCAATTTCCTCTGCTCGTCGCATGACTGTTCCTTCTGTACATGTCCTAGAATACAAGACCCATGAGGTAGTAACGCTAGAACCTGTATACACCTCACATACAGACCTGGATGATATCAGCCAGCCAGAAAATGGAGTCGCAGCCGATGCCGAAATCAGTGCTTCAGATAGCGAATCTGAGGGTTCTGCAAAAGAAGAACCATTGGATACAATTAATGAAACTCCATATGCATCTAATGAAAATGAAGTTCTTGGCTCAGTATGTGTTTTTAAATATTTATTTTTCATATGTGTATATATAAATATATGTGTGTGTATATATAATTGATTTATTTTATTTATTGCATATCGTAGTATTTTTTTATTATTATTATTAGAAAGAATTTGAAGTAGAAATAAATCATACATTTAATAGTTTTTATTTTCATTAAATTATCTCATAGGCTGGAGAAGTAGTAACAGTATTGCAGGAAGAACAAAAATCTTTAATATGGTTTTTAATGAAACAAGCACGACCTGGAATGGATCTATCTAAAGTAGTATTACCTACTTTTATATTAGAACCTCGATCATTCTTAGAGAAATTAGCTGACTCTTATTATCATGCTGATCTTCTATCGGAGTAAGCAAGAGTTCAACAAAATGATTAAATAATTATCATTCATTATATCTATTACATAATGTACATTTATTTTTATAGAGCTGTACTAGAAGACGATGCATTCACGCGTATGAAGGCAGTTGTCAAATGGTACTTATCTGGTTTTTATAAAAAACCTCAAGGCTTGAAGAAACCGTACAATCCACTTTTAGGTGAAACATTTCGTTGTTATTGGCAACATCCTAATGGTTCAAGAACATTCTACTTAGCAGAACAAGTAATAAACATTACTTTTTGTAATTTTTCTTTGTTATCCCATTAATGAAATCTATTACTGTTTTAAGCGGAGCAGTTTATTGTGGTTTTTAAAATGACATATGTATATATATATATGCATATATTTATGCAATTAATTAAAATCTTTCAATATAATTTTGTAGTTGTCTCATCATCCACCTATATCAGGATTTTATGTAACAAATCGTCAAGATGGTTTTACGATCAGTGCTACGATTATTGCTAAATCTAAATTTTATGGTAAATATATTTTGTGAATAAAAAAAAGAAACATTATAATTATTAACACATTTTATGATATTATTTCAGGTAACTCAACATCAGCAATATTAGATGGTGTTGCAATATTAACAATGTTACCCAGAGGTGAAGATTATACGATGACAATTCCTTATGCACATTGTAAAGGTATTCTTGTGGGAACATTATCTATGGAACTTGGTGGAAAAATAGATATTGAATGCGAGAAAACTCGTTACCATACTGAATTAGAATTTAAACTTAAGGTAAAATTTATAATTATATATACATATGAATCTTTTTTATTTGAATATTAATTGTTCTTATTATATCATTAGCCATTTCTTGGAGGATCAGAACAGATGAATCAAGTAGTAGGAAGAATACGTTTAGGGAAAGAAACTCTTGCTACTATTTCAGGATATTGGGATGGACAAATAATGATTACTGATAAACGAACTGGAGTAAGTTAGAAGCTGATTATTATTATTATTATTATTATTATTATTATTATTATTATTATTATTTAACTAAATATAATGATTGTTGTTGATACCAACAAATATCTGATTATTATCTTCTTACAGCAAGAAAGTGTATTTTTTAATCCAACTGCAGAGGTGCGTAAAAAGAGATTGAAAAAATATACCGTACCTTTGGAATATCAAGGCCCATGGGAAAGTGAAAAATTATGGCTTGCTGTTACACATGCTATTAATAAAGACGATCAATATGCTGCTACTGAAGCAAAAACGCAATTAGAAGAAGCTCAAAGAGAACGAGCTAAAGAACGCAAAAGTAATGGTCAAGAATGGGTTCCTAAATATTTTGTACAGGTTGGTGGTAATCGCTTATGATTATTTTTATACATTCGTAAATAAGAATTATAATAATTAATAAGTCATAATAAAGTATGTGTTGAAAAATAATAAATTTATATGTTAATAGGATATTATAACAGGTAATTGGGTGTATAGACATGCAGATGCTCGACCATGGGATCCTAGAAATGATGTAGTACAATATGAACATGATTATATTATACGCACAAAAACAAGACATAAGACACCAATTATGCGTACTGGTAGTATTGTTTCAACAGATCCTATAACACAGGTAAAAATATATTAAATATAATTCATAGTATACAGGTAAAGATTTATATATATATATTGTTAACTACAATTTATAGTATATATGCTATTATTAATATTTTTCGTTACCTTCTTCGCTTACCATATGGCAACGCAAGTTCCCAATTTATGAATTTTTATGATACGGTAATTTCTTTAGTATAGTAAGCTTTAATCAAACCTTATATATTATGCACTTCATCAAAGTAGTATATCTTAAAAATACTTATAGATATTTTTAATATAATTTAATTAGTTAATTAAATTAATCTTCCATTGGCTTTTTTTTCAATGGATTTATTTTAGAAGTAGTATAGGTACACTAATATAAATATATACAATTAATAAAAATAAATCAATAAAAATATATACATTTTGTTTTTATAGATGCCATTACTTCAAGCTGAGTCTCGTTCATCATTATCCGTGTTAAAATCTTCAAAACGACAATTGTCTAATAATTTACCTCTTACAGAAACTGCACACGACTCGGGTAGTTCATCTGCCGAGTTACATTCAGATTCTAGTCAATCAATAGGCAAAAGAAGACGTGCTACGACAAGGTAAAATATTGATTAATGATAATTCAAATGTTTATTATATTTTATACTTTTATATCAAATAATTCGAATTTTACAGATTACTAGATATCAGTAAAGATATAGAAAATCAAATATCAGAATATGGTGAAAAATTGAATCGCATTCAACATCTAATTGAACAACTTGCTGTAAGGCAAAGAGCACAAATAGAGCAACAACATCATATAAATGTCTTTAAAAGTTTTTTAGATACCATACTTGTTATCGTAGTTGTCTTCCTTGTGCAATATTTTATGAAAGTATGGAATACAGGACCTAGTACAAGTTGAAATAATTTATTATAGTGTCCTATACGTTACGTAATTATTTACACATAGTAAAATACAAAAATCAGCTTTTTATTTTTCATAATAAAAAAAAAAGTATATATATAAGTATGTATACATTTTTTTGTTCATAACAAAAAATATATATATATTTTATCTTTCATAAATGAAAAAATATATATATATATAAATTCTTTAATTATTCGTGATAATACAGCAACAATAATATTTTATAACATTAAGCACGTACACACACAAATACACACATATATATAAAACTGTGAATTACATAGAAAAATGTGTACAATATTTATGTAAAATTATTTTCATAGAGTATCAAAGGTGTATAGTTAATGCCTAAATTATTGAATTATCAATCAACATGAGCTTAATTTCTTGTATATAATGGCTAAATTGCAATATTATATAAGAATATTATACATATTCGAATTATTATAGTATTAATTGCAACTACTCTATGATAAAAATGCAAATATAATAACGAAATTATTACAGTAAATTTGAAATAATCTTATAGATTACACACTTGACGTCTATATATTAATATAAAGTTATAAAAATTATAAAAATTAATTGTAAATTATATCACTGTCTTGACTCATTGATCTTCATCGAAGTATCTTAATATTATATATATATATATCAATCCTTCAAGTTGGAAAACTTTGTATCAATGAATTAAACAGTGTTTTAAGAGTAATTGCATGTTTGAACTTGTATAAATATTAATATAAAGCTTTTTATCTATCTAATTTAATAGAATTCGTTAAAATCGATAAATGCGATATTTATGAAATAAATTTCAGCATAATATTTTTTATAAACAAAATTTATATATATATCTTCTCTTCACGCGCTTTGACGAAAATCACATTTTTGTAAATTATCCATAGAGCTTTTTATTATATTTTATTTTCGACTGATAATGATGAATTGATGAATTTTATTTAATTTATAGTACAGTGCCTATATATATATATATATATATAATAATAAATCTTTGGTGTTCATGATTTAATATAAAAAAAAAAAGATGTAAAAATATAATTAACACGATCTTTGACAATGAAAGGTTTCACTAATGATATTCCAGAAAAAAAAGAAGTTATAAACATTTAAAAAGGTGGTCCTAATGTTATCACCATCTGGTATCAACGTTAACATAATATTTCCGTATATATAACACTTGGATAAGCATATCTATATTTTATTAATACTATTTTTGATCATACGCCAAAATTCAATTACATTTAATAATCCAATTATAATAATATAATGTTTAACAAAATTGATATTTATTAAAAGAAATATCTTTTCTATAATATAGTTTCTACACATAAAACGTTCCTTATATATATATATATATATATTTATTTATTTATAACTTGGATCACCGATTATCTAAAATTATAATGATTATGGTAATATTTCTATTATTATAAATGAAATGATTTACATACAATATTTATCTCTAAGTTAATGTTGCATTCTTTTTATTTGCACAAATATATCCACACCACATGCATTCTGTATTTTAAAAAAAAGTATCAACCGTTTTAAAACTTATGTTAATATATGTCACCATGTATTTCATTTCATTTAAGTTTAATTAAATGATATACACACATATATGGTCAAACAATATTGGTAACATTTTAAAAATATCTTTATTTTATCTATAGATAGTTTAATTACATAAGAGTTAAAGAAAAAGGGATTTGTGCAATAGATTTTTAATTAAAACAAAAAGTTTATCTCTACCCCATTCCTATGAACATCATACGCTTTTTATACATAGTTAAAATATCATTTAATTATGATAAAATAACTATATTTTAATTCTTTACTACACAACAAACAAGCAAACAAAATAATATTGTGTATGTACCTGAAATATTTATTTCAATTTTTATTTTCAGCTTCAATCATGATAAATATATATATATATGTATACTATCATATAATTTAAAATTATTTACCATTACTGGATCATGTATACGGAAGCATGGGGTGAATGAAGGATGAATGAAGAATGAATGAAGTATGAAAGTATAGAAGAATGAAGAAATCAGACGAGAGATATTAGTGCAAAGAGATATTTGGTGAAACAGTGACAAGTATGGGTAGTATGAGAGTTATGAGCGATTACAGTAATTTCGTTAATGTAGTATGACAGAATATTTGTATTTTTAATTTTATATTTTGTATTATTTTATTTTGCTTCGTTGCATATTATACTATTGTATTTTTGTTTTGACTTTTATCTGTATTTGATTTATATTATTTCTTTTATTATATCATTGGTATTTCTTACTTTAACTGTATGGAAGCTTTGTAAAGCATGAAGAAAGAAATGAAGCCTTTGTAAACCCTAGAGGATGTATACATACATACATAATGGACTATTTATGTTATGTATACATTGATAATATTACTATAAATATTATAACTATAAATATTCTAAGTAGTATTTAATATACATACAAGAACTATTGTTTTTAATGTTGTATTTCCTCAAATTTGTCTTTTGCATCTATGTAAGAAAATTTATGGTTGTACAAATAAAGAAATTCATTTACGATTTATAAATCTTATAAATATAAATGATGTAATATCTGCGAATAGTACATTTTTCTAATCAGGAGAGTCTTAGAAGTGTAAATTTCAGATTTGTTTCAAATTTTGCACATTTCTAGTAATTTTTTACAATCAAAAACAATGAAACTATTCCAGGTAATAAAATTTACATGCTATATATATATATATTTGTTTGATTCTAATATTTTTATAACATATATGTCACTTATGTCAGTACCCTTCGGATTTTTAAATTCATAGGTTGTTAATAACAAAAATTTGTATAATATCATTTAATCAAAAAAAAAAAAAAACATTATAATAATGCATAAAATACAAGGTTGAATATAATTGCGTGTGAACAAATATGCAGATTGTAAATTATATGTGTGTAAAGGATAGCATTAATTTTGTTTTTAGATTTTTCTCAAATAAATCAAGAATCAATACCGATAACTCCACAAATGATACGAAATGCTGTAGAAATCTTACAAATGAGAAAGCTTTTTGTTAATACTGAATTAATAATAGATTATTTGATAAAACATTATCCGGTTAATAAACAAACAATTAAAATAGAAATTATACCAAAGTTAAAGCATGCTGTACGTATTGGATTAATAGTACAATGTGGACATAATCAATATCGTATTCCAACATTATTACAGGACGCTAATACATTTGAAACGACATTCAATCCACTTTAGAATTTTTATTACATTGTAAGAAGAATATTTTTCTTTTATTTATTTCTATATACATATTTTATTTTATTATTAATGAAATAAAAAAGTATAAAATTACAATGTTATATAAAACCTATTTAAAAAATTAATTTCCTTTTTTTATAATATTATAACATATCAATATTATTATGAAATTATAAAATCATTCGTATGTATGTCAGTATATTTAAAAACATAATCATAATATAATTAACAATTATCATTATTTTGTTTCGTAGGAACATTTGTGTGAAAATTAAAAAGTAACTTGGAATGAGATAAAATTGCATCAAATAGGCGAGCAAAATTTGGAGAATTTTCAAGTATTACTTTAATATAATCTTCAACATTTTTACGTTTTTTAAAACTAACATATAGATTATATATCAAAGTACCATTAAACATGATAGATATTTTTGAAATTTCATATGGATCACCCAATAATGCATTTAAATCTAAACTAAATTTCAAACAATTTTGAAATTGTGTGAATATATGAACAATCTCTGGTTTATATAGTTTTTTATTTTGTACAAGTTTCGGGTGGACCTTGTTATAAGAAATAAAATATGGCGTTAACATTAAACAATCAGTTTCTGTAATTTCATTTATTAATTCTGTAATACTTTTCTCTTCAATTAACTGCGAAGGAAGAAGAAGATCCATTTTTTTCATTTGATTTATTAAGCCTGTTTCTTCATTTATTACTATCTTCAATTCTCGCAACTGATTACTAAATTTCGATTTAAATGATTTAATTGATTTATAAAAACCAATTTTTAGATAAATAACATTTTGTAACATTGCAAAGAGCAACGTATATATATGAATATTAGATGATAATGATAAGTTATCAACCCAATATTTGATTGCAGTAATATACAATCTCCAATTTTGAGGAAATTTATTTACAAGATCGTATTGTTTTATATTTAAAGTATTATCATAAATGTATTTTCTTATATTTAATGGGACCTCTCTAAGATCTGAAAGAGATGGAGTTTTATCAATACCAATATTATCAAGGTATTTTAATGAATATTGAGTTATCTGATTTTTTATTCCTCTAGTTAACAAGTGTGAGCCTAGTCTTGGTTTTTCAAATCCTGTTATAAGTAATGTATATATAACTTCAAGAATCGGCATGCTTATGAATATACTTGATGGTTGATTATAATCTTCAACTTGTGCAGAATGTAAATACTTTCCGTGAGCTAATAAAGTTATAAAATAATTTGGAAAGTGACCTTTAGAATATTCAACGATAAACCAATGGGGTAATTGATGAATAATATCCATCTGTACAATTTTAGACGAAGAACCTTTCGTATTTTCGTATTTTTTTAATAAAAGATGTATAGTACTAATCATATTATCTTTAGAAGTCGTATCAAATTCTGTTCTTTTAGAAGTAATATCATTAATAATTTCTTGAGAAAAATCAAATTGAAGTAGTATATCTTCTGATATATTAGTATATTCATTTATGATCATCTCCATTGTTTTAAGTATTTGTGTTCTATTATTCAAACGTACAGCATTTATTATATCAAATATGACAGTGTTTATTTCTTGTTCAGCCAACCATTGAAATATAGACTGTATACGATATTGTTGTGAATTATTGCAACGTAATTTTTTCTTCATTCCTCGTCTTTGTATAATTTTGTACAAAACATTGAATTCCTGTTGCTCTACGTAATCGTTTCCAATCAATATAGCAGCTAAAGGTAACTTCCAATCAACCAATCCACGAAAAATATTAAATAAAGATTCTATTTTATAAATAGAACAATTTTTTAAATCTTCTGTATCTTTCTTTGACCATTTCAATGTATTGAACGGTATGTACATTGATCCATAAATAAAAAAATCAGAATCATAACTAAGAACAGGACATTGTAAAAGTTTAGCAATACCAGCTATTGCATTGTCAGCTTCAAATAAACACTGTACATGTTTTATATTCATTTCATTAAGAATTTCTTTGAATACATAAAATATTAAATTAGGAATGAAAAAATGTAAATAAGAACTATCAAATAGATAGTTAGGAAAATGATCACGTGCTGATTTATATCTATCGTATAAACGAGTCATTGCAGTTTTTGTTTTTCTAGATTCAAAACTACCATCCATCAGAACTAATGGTGTTACTTTGTAATTACTTAGGTTTACAAAGAAATTTTTCACACTATCAGCGTAATTATCATAATCACCTCCAAATGCTTCATTAGATTTCGTATATTTCCAATATAATTGATACGCAAGATTAGAGCCATCGATAACTAAGAAGGTATCACATAATTTATAATCTTGAAGAAAATATTCTGCATGATCTTGAATATAACTTGTCAAGCCTTTTATACCCATTTTTAATAATTAATCAAACACTTTATAATTTATAATATTAAGCGTTATCTTTTCTTTTCTTTCCTTTTTTCTTTTTCCTTTCTTTTATATGATGCACAATAAGAAAAACCATAAACTTATAATTTTGCATTAGATCAATGGGTAGATTAGATATATAGATATATAGATATGATATATATATATATATTAGATTATCTTTTATCTTTCTATTTATTTAATTATTTAACGAAAATAGTCACCGTATATCATTTATAAATAAATACTAAATAATTAATTTTATACTTGCATGTCACTTTTCCAGTATCGATGGAATTATATTGCGTCTTATGTGTATCTATATATATATATGACACATATATAGATGACTCATCTCATCGCACGCTAGTTTTTAAGAAAATCTCCGTTAGAATAGACACGCACGCACTCGTATGTTTTTTGATTTGTTCGTAATTGTTAATTACAGTTTCAAATCATAAAATACTTGTTATTCTCGTTTATTATAACCTCCTAATAAAACGAACAAGAAAATGGACGTCCCACATTATTTACAAAATATTTACATGTAAATCGTTCTTTATGATATCACATTAGATCAAATGGAATATATCATATTATTTTGACAATAATTGGAATGTAATCCACAGGTATATTATTTAGAGGCTTGCTGAAAAATATATATAGTATAATTATTTTATTGAAAATATTTTTTATTATATTATAATTATGTATAAAAAAAAAAATAAAATAAAATAAAGAACAAGTAAAAGAAAAAAAAGCAGCAAAATTATAACAACAAATAAAGCTAATGCAATATGACTAGTAACCAAATTGTTCTAAACTCTTATGATTCATTTTAACATAGCATACATATTTGATTACTCGTGTATTTCGTAGATTCTTTTTGATTAGAATTAGCGCGTTCTCTTTCATCCCAAATGGTTAAGCCATCGCACGCACATATTTTCTTTGTATTTTGAAATAAACCAGATGAACGAGCAATAATTCCGCAAGCCAATCTACAAAAAGAAAATAATAATTGCAGTCAATGAAAAGAATATAAAAACATATATATATATATAAAAAAAAAAAAAAAAAAAAAAAACAGGAAAATAAGATATAAAAACTTGCAATATCATATCTTTTACCTCTTTCCACTATTTCCGTCTATTAATGATTGTTGATCATTTCCTTTTCCTAAATCATCTGGTTTTTCAGTAATAACAAGTGATCTTCCAATAATATCTGACACTTGAAGGAATTTATTGATTCTTCTAAATAAAGCTCTTCCATTATTATCTACATCTATGTTTCCAAGATCACCAATGTGCTATTATAAACAGGAAAACATTATTATATTTAAAATTAATTTCAAATAATATAAAATGTATAAAATAGAGATCATTTTTGATATATATCTCTCATTTTAATTTTACCTTTTTAGATATGTCGTCTTCAGGTCCACCATGTATGCTATTATGAGGGTTAAAATGTTCTCCTACGCTATTAAGAAATAAAATTGACAGAATATTATAAAATATAAATTTCTCGAGTGACCATGAATATATAGCACTATCACTATATTTAAAAAGTATGACATATTTTTAAAGTACTTTATAATACCTTTCACATCCATTAGAAATGTCACCGCATTCGTGTATATGTACACCGTGTTGTCCAGGTTCAAGTCCATCAACTGTTCCATCTATTATACAACCTTCTGGAGTTTGTACAAATCTTATTACACCTTTTATATTATTGCTTATGCTATATCCAGAGTTACCTCCTAACATTGAAACTGCGCTAAAACTGTTTTCTATAAAAATATTTATTAATCATATTTTTCATTTAAATTGTAGTATTATTATTATTATTATTATTATTGTTGTTTATACTTTATAGAAACGAAAGAATTAATTTGCATAATTTCTTTTTGTCATTATAATTGTATATACTTTCTATACTTATATATTGTTTTTAACCCATTGAGTATACTATGGGTTAATACATGCATACTAAGAATGCATACAAGGTGGTAAAAAAAAGGGTTCAATATTTGAAGGACTTATAGTACTCACCAAGACGATTAAAAAAATGTTTAATTAACATGAATTCTAAAATCAACTCTTTGATGTAAATAAACTTTTATTATTTATAAAAGTTTTATTAATATCGTAAGCGAGCTTCTCTTGGCAACATGTTGAATGTACACAGAAGAATTTCCTTCAAATATCAAATCCTTTTTTTTTACCATCCTATATAATATATATTTTATTCAATTCTTTTTTTTTTTAATATGTCATTATCTAAAATATATATTGTTTTCAAATTTACCTCCATATCCTTTGAGAACAGCTTTCTTTCCAGATTTCTCTATTTTTTCTTGTATCAAGGTAAATGGAAGATTGGTTTCAACAACAACTGTTCCACGTTCTAACGAAATATTTAAATTTTGAATATCATTCAGATCTGATAAACTCTCTTGTACAGCATTAACGCATTTTTGACAAGTCATGTCGACAGCAAACTCAATCTGTTATACAAAAATTCAATTTAAATAAATATATTTTTAATATTTGATCAAAATAATCTGACTAACCTTTGACATAGACATTTTCTAATATATTATAATTAATTTCTTTTAATGACAATGACTTTTCTTTTTAAATAATCTCATCCAAAACTTATGTTCTTATTCGTTTTTGTATTCTTTGAACGTTGGTTTCGTCAAATGGCATAATCATTATCATTCGCTAAAATTTCTTCTGATATACTCTGTCGATAATGCAGAAAAATTTCGTAATAACTATTACATTTATTCGAATTTAATAATTTTAATTTCAATCTATGTGTGTAAATGAATTTAATTATTTAAAATATAAATTTTTAATTATATTTCTCCATTTCTCTTTATTTATTTTATTTAAATTAACGTTTGAAAAACCATTTCATTTATTTGTAAATTAAGTTTTTTGTCAACCAATCAAATTACAGTAACTACAAATATACGCGATATTGCAAAATATTATTGCAGATATTATAATACAATTTTATTTAAAGGAAGTTGTGATAATATCTCAAATTTTAATTTAATCTTTTATTTTATTTTATTAATTTTTGTATAATTTGATAAGAATTGAAAAAAAAAAACGAAGGAAACATGGAAATGGGTGATGATATAACAAATGTCAATTATTTGTATTTACATATCATACACTTATTTATTATTAATATTACATTTATTATTATTAAATATATCAATATTCTACATTTAGTTTCATTATTTAAGACCGTGTACCTTTTTAACCTCTTTGTAGATTGCCATTTTTTGAACTGAAAAACAAAGAAAAGAATAAAAAGAATTAGATCAATGTACAGTTGCATGCAAAATTATCCGGCCAAACATAATGTTATCATTTAGTATGGTTTACAAAATGTTGAATGAAAACTCAAATATATCATTGTAAAGTGTATTATGCCATCAAAATATGTAATTTAAAAATTGTTTATAACTATTATAACAATTATTTGTTACAAATATGACAATTTCTGGTTTTTCATAAATATCCGACCATGTTCTATAAAGGTATTATTAATCAAAATAGAATGTAATTTACTTCGCTATGTTTACGTTATTAGTCGCGAATGTATGTAAACATTTAGTTCGTTGTCCTTTCTGTATTGTACGATCAGTAACACTTCGTCAAAATGCCGGAACGCACGTCTTTAAACATTCGTAAATTAATTATTAAATTACACGATGAAGTAAAAGTCTCCCGTGAAATATCAACAATTTTGGCTATCGGAAAAACGACTGTTAACGTTATTATTCATAAATTTAAGACAACGGGTAGTTTAAAAGCTAAATGCAATCCTGGGTGACCAAAAAAAACAACTAAACGTGTTGATAAAGTAATTAAAAGAAAGTCTATCTCAGATGTAAAAAAGAATACTGCAATCATTGCACGCGAATTACGCGAAAAAAATTTAGCTGACATTAGTCAAAGTACTGTGTACCGAAGGTTGACAGAAGTGGATCTTTTCCGACGTGTTGGTGTTAAAAAACCACTTATCAGTAAGAAAAATAAGAAGGACAGATTGAAATTCGCCAAAAGACATCAACACTGGACTAATAAAGATTGAAAAAAAGTGCTCTTTAAGGATGAAACTAAAATTAATGTGTTTGAAAACGATGGGAGGAGATATGTGCGACGACGAAAAGGTACTAGATATGATTCAAGATATCAAATATCTACTGTAAAGCACGATGGTAGTAGCATTATGCTATGGGGTGCATTTTCTTGAAAAGGCATCAGCCCAATCTTTAAAATTGAAGACACAATGGACTCTATCAAATATAGAGATATCATATTAGATGTAATGTAGCCTTATGCACGTTAAAACATGCCACGAGGATGGATATTTCAGCAGGATAATGATCAAAAACATCAATCAAAGCTCCTTCAATAGGTTTTTTCTCAGAAAAAAGTCCGAGTTTTAGAGTGGCCAAGTCAATCTCCGGACTTAAATCCCATATAGCATTTATGGCAAGAGCTAAAACTAAAATTAGGGTTTAAAACGTGTGCGAATAAAGCTGATTTGTGAAAATAAGTTCAAAAATAGTGGACAAATATCTCTCAAGATAGAATCGTTAAACTAATTGAATCGATACCTCCTCACCGATGTGCTGCTGTGATAGCTGCAAAGGCTATGGTTACCAAATATTGATGAAAAATTAACATTTATTTCTTATATTTATCTTTTATTACTACTTCTGATTATTTTTTCTTTAGTTTTTTGTATAAATAGTGCGAAATTTGTGCTTGGTCGCATATTTATGAAAAACCAAAAATTGTTATTCTTGTTGTAAATAATTATAAATTGTTATATATAATTTTCTAATTAAATGGTTTTATAACAAAATAGAAATACTTTACGACTTTACTTATTTGTATTTGCATTTTGCACCGGTTATATGTTAAATAATCAAAAAATTATGTTTGACTGGATAATTTTGCATGCAACTGTATATAAGAATATAAGAGTATAAATTTATTTTATTTATCTTAAATTAATTCATTGTAATTTATATTATTAACCATAAAAGAGAATTCTCATTTTATGAACTTACTGTACGGATCGAATTTAATAACTTCTAATTTATCAGCTACTCTTTCTCTGATCATATGCCTTGTATGACCGCTTACTACACTTTCAGTTAAAACTAAGAGTAGTCTAAAACAGATAAAAAAAAACAAACAAATAAATTAGTTAAAAATAAATAACATTAATTGCATTTTAGTCAGCTAACTTATTTACACAAATAATGTGTATTTTAATATTACATATCATTTATATTTTATTATAAGTATATTAATAAGAAAAAAGAACTTACTTGCTCTTTGCTTTCTTAAACAATATATTTGTTAAAAACATTATTATTTATTAAAAATCTAAGTATGTTTTATATCATGAATATTTGGTTATAACGTGACTCATTTGTAAAAATAAAAACATTAATGCCATCTGTGTTTGGTGGCGAGAACTGAATTGGTATTTACCATCTTTAACAATAGATGTTTCATCTATTACGTTGCAATTGTAAAAATAAATATTAATAATTAAAAGTATAAAGAAGATGTTAAAATTATTTAAAGATAAAGAAATAAGGAGAATTCATTTAAAGGAATAAATGTATATATATATATATATGTCGAATATATATATATATATATATACATCGAAGACATTTAATTGAACATTTCAAATCTACATTAAATCTTGCCTGTGGATTGCGCGGTCAAATCAAAGCAATATGGCGGATTGGCACAATAACTTGTATTTCAGAGAGTATTATTTTGATTCGAATGAAAAGATTGTGAATAGTGCACACAAAGTTATTATTAACACCGATAATTATAAGAAAATAGTATCTTATTCACGTATATAACAATAGCGTGTATTTTTTATTATATATTAAAGTGTTTATTTGTTAAATATATATTGTATCTCTGGGTGTATGTGCTTCAAAATTTATTTCATTAATGGACATGAAGATGACCTTAATTATTAGGATATATTAGCATTGTCGTGTATTTATTTTAATTTTTTATCATTATTTTTTTATGTTCAAACATGTCGTCAACTCAAAATAAAATGCGAGGTACGTTTTTTTTAATTATCCAAAGTAACCTTTCTTCGTTCTCTTCATAAGAAAATTCATTTCGTTATTAATTTATTGTTATTTTACGTATGATATCTAAGATTTGAATATCTTGCAATAAAATATTTTTTTCTATTAATTAATTTATCAGAAAAATGTATTTAATTTATATGATACGTATGTATGACAGTCTTGTTATTTATTATTATTATTATACACATATTACAGGCCCCGGGAGACCACCTAAGTCAAAAAATTCTTGCACGTGGTGCGGAGAGACCAAACAACCATTAAAATATGTTCTTCCCACTCAACATGGGAAAAAAGAATTTTGTTCTGAAACTTGTCTATCAGAATTTCGTAAAGCTTATGTACGCGGTGCTTGCGTACAATGTGATAATGTTATCAGAGGTACATCAGTTAAATTAGAACAGAAAGATGGTCCTACTAAAGATTTCTGTTCATCTTATTGCCTTAATAGACATCAAAAGAAGGAAAATCAAGCTGAAATGAAAAAAGGTTAGTTATTTGAAGTATTTGGTTTTTCATGTTTTACTAATAGAATATAATATTGAAAAAATGATATTAAAGTTATACTTAGATGTACTATAGAGAGAATATATTTAATCGTTTATATGGTATAAGCTTATATAATTTATCTTATTATTTTAGGTAATAAGGATCAATCATCGCCTGCACCTTCTCCCCTTCCATCTAACTTATCAAATAATAACAATGTAGCATCCGCGACGCAAGTTTACCCTCATACAAATAATCATAACAATGCATCTCATCCGCCGTCTACTTCGACTGGTCCGTTTCAATATGAAACATATCAAACTTTTGATTGGGATCTTTATTTGAAAGAAACTAATAGTTCTGCGGCACCTATCGAATGCTTTAAACAGGTATGCAGTATTATCAACAACAAMAAAAAGACAAACAAATAAATTTAGATTTAATTTTGTCCACAAATAATATATATTATATAAAATATTTCATATATATATAGCACGAAGTACCACCAACGAATGATTTTAAAATGGGCATGAAATTAGAGGCCTTAGATCCTCGTAATTTAACATCGACTTGTATTGCAACGGTAGTTGGTGTCCTTGGTCCTCGATTAAGACTACGACTTGATGGATCTGATAACAAAAATGACTTTTGGCGTTTAGTTGATAGTAACGAAATTCATCCAATTGGACACTGCGAAAAATCAGGTGGTATGCTTCAACCCCCTCTGGGCTTCCGTATGAATGCTTCCAGTTGGCCAATGTTTTTATTAAAAACATTAAATGGAGCTGAAATGGCACCTGCTAAAGTATTTAAACGTGAACCAAAGACACCTCGTTCTAATATGTTTGAAGTTGGACATAAATTGGAAGCTATAGATAAAAAAAATCCACAACTAATATGTACTGCTACTGTTGGTGCTGTGAAAGATGATATGATTCATATAACTTTTGATGGTTGGCGTGGAGCCTTTGATTATTGGTGTCGCTTTGATTCTAGAGATATCTTTCCTGCAGGATGGTGTTTTAAAAGTGGACATCCACTACAACCACCGAGACAAAAATGTAAGTCGCTTATTTTTATTTACTTTATACAATAATGGATTTATAAAAGAAAAACAATTAATTATTTTCTATTTGTGGTATTTATAATAATTACATAAGCATTTATTTTGTACAGCAACAGGTCCTAACAGATTTAAATCACGAACAAGTAATGTTTTGCCAGTAATGGCAGTGTCTGGTGGTGGTGCTAACGGAGAACCAGCAGTTGCACTAGTAAGTCCAGCTGGTTCAAGTCCACCTCCACAACCAGCTACAGAACCAGACACTAGTACAGCTAATACTAAACCGGATCCTCTTGGCAATGGTATTTATACAATTTTTCAACAAGTAAACAATTAATAGAACAATATATAAATAATATATTTTATAATGTTACAGTTACTATTTATGTAAATCACAATTGTACGTGTGGTCCTTATTTCGACCCTCGTAAGGTAAAAGCTATGCCAGCACAATTTGGTACAGGTCCTATATTAAGTGTCACGAGAGATATCTTCCAAGCATTTCTCATGGCAGCGATGAGTCCGAGACAAATGTTAAGTTTGCTGAAACGTGGCGAAGGAGAAAATATCAATTTAACTCTAGAAAGTAAACCTACTTCTGTTAGATTACCTATATTTATGGAAGATGAGGATTTTTATGTTTATATCAGGCGACAACTCGAAGATCTTTGTGCGTGCGAGCACATACTATCCAGAAGAAAAGAACCCTGTAATAAATGTCCGAATACTCAACAGCAGCCACAATCTACTAATTGTGAAGAAACGACTAACAATAACAATGATGAAAAACGAAGATGGTCGTCTGCAAATCAAGAAAATCTTTCATCGTCTACGCAACAACAAGCACAACAATCTGCGCAAAGTATAAATAACACAACTCTTTCATGTCCTACACCAGCAAAACAACCACGCAAATCGCTTCCAGGTAAGCATATTTTATCATAACACAGTTATGATCATTAATTAACATTTAATCAAAATTAAATGTGTTTTTCAAATTGTGGATTATTTTTAGAATTGGAAGCTGCAACATCAACTACTCAATCAGAAAATACAGCGAATCGTACGCTCTCTACAGAACCGGCTGAATGGACTATAGAAGATGTTATACATTATATTGCCCTAACAGATCCTGCATTAGGGCAGTATGCGGATTTGTTTAGGAAACATGTAATTTTTATTATTTGTTTTATCTGTTTCTTTAAAACTTCAAAAAGAGCGGTAAAATAATGATTTATTAAAATTATTTTTAGGAAATCGATGGAAAGGCTTTACTTCTTCTGAATTCTGATATGATGATGAAATACATGGGGCTAAAACTTGGACCTGCACTTAAGATCTGTAATTTGGTAAATCGTATTAGAGGTAGAAGACATATAATGCTATGACTTTCTCGGATATAAAACTATATACATTAAGGTAAATTGCATTTGAAGTGGTTGGTTAAACTTGTTTTCATTAATGAAAACATAATAATGTGAATATATGAATGTATGTACTATTATTATGTCAATATAATATGATTGATTTAAGTAGAAAACAATTTTATAATTTACTTTGGTAAAGTAAGTATTTGTATCCATGAGAAAAGCACACAAATTTGCATTAATTGATTTAATTGATTAAATGTAGACATTTTTATTTTAATGAAAAAGAATTAATTCATACAATGAGAGAAAAGCACACAAATTTGCATTAATTGATTAAATTGATTAAATGTAGACATTTTTATTTTAATGAAAAAGAATTAATTCATACGAGAAACTAAGCATGTAGATAAATAATGAATATAGACGAAATGTTTTCTCAATTAATTATAGAATTTTTTCATTACTTTTTTAAAGTCAAAAGTATGTAAAAACAAAGTAATGTATATCAATCAGTAGCTATGTATAATAGCAAATTTCAATTACAAATCTTTTATAACACACAAATTGTTAGTCTTTAATATAATATTAATCCATGATGTATTCTTGGTCAGTTTGCAAAAAAAGATTATATTTAAATGAAAAATATCATATATTTTACTGAATTTGTTTATTTATATTTTCGTTATTTAGATAAACTTGAATTAATTTGTATTTTTATTATTATAGAATGGATCTGTTTCCTCAGATTTTTGTTGCTATATTAACTTGCTTATGATCATGTATAATTTATATGACTATTACATAACATTAAAAAATGTAAAAGCTTTACAATATACAGAGTGTTAAAAAAACCATTCAATATATATAAAGCATACATTTTACTAAATAAAAAAAGTCCTTAGATTTATATCTTGGAAACTTTTTGACCTATGTTTATTAAGATTTTTTAATTCAACATAGTGTGTTCTATATGCTAAATAAATATTAAATGATTTTTTAAAACAACCTGAATAAATATACAGGAACACTCTGTATATATTATAAAAATATGTATATTTTCAAGTATTCATATAATAATACCATATATAAATAGTAAATTAATCTTTTATTAAATTTAAATTTACATTCATTCATAGGTGATACCGTTCTATTGAATATATTATTATTATATAATGATTATATATAATAGTTTCCAAAGTGATATTCAATATTTGTTCAAATCAATTAATATAATAATTGTTCAAATTGTATGATACAATTATATATATATATAAATTTTGCAGTACAATTATATATATATATATAAATTTTGCAGTAAATACCATAAATACACCCAATGAAAAGCAAACATACATTCTTGTCCATGTATGTCACTATTGATTCATATTAATTGAAAAAAAGAAATTTAATATAATAATACATGTTATGTACGTTGATGAATAATTAGAAACCTTGATCAGGTGTATAAGTTTAGGTTAGTAGATTATTATTAATATTTTCTTTTAAAGCTATGTATTGTTTATGTTTCTTGAGAAGATCATACTATTATATTTATAATCATTAAAGGAATAAATTACTAACAGTGTGACTGTACAAAATATCTATAAGTATAATAATTGTGATCAATATTATATAAGATATAAATAAGTCTAATCGTTAAGTACATTCTATGAAATATACTTTATTACTTTTTCTTATTTTTTTTTTTTTTATCTTTTATGTTACATATGCAGTTGTTATATAAATATAAATATATTTAATCGTAGCCTTTGTAATATCAAAATTACTTATAAATATCAAAGTAATAATTAATTTAAGATTGAACGAAAATATTTTCTATTAAATTTATTATACGTAACATTTCGTATGATAGTAAATAATTAAAAAAAAAAACAAAAAAAAAGAAGATTAATTTTAATTCATTATAATCTTATTTTTTATAAAAAAAAAAATTGTGGACTTTGTTTTCATCAATCATTGTCTTTTCTTCCTCCTTAAAGAGTAATATTCAGTGTACCATAAATAGTATGCATAATATTGTATTCCATGCGTTACTCCTGGCATTATATTGCTTTATTTATTTGACGAAGTTAACAATTATATAGATTATTAAATTAAATTTAAGTATGTACTTAGAAAATGCTTGCGTGCTTATATTGTGTTATGTGCAACCACACACAAATAACGCATATACCATTTATAAATGTGTGCCATGAAATAATTCATAAAAATAATTACATTCGATTACAAATTTCAGTCATTTTCACTTAGCATTTATTATAAAGAAAAATAATATTTTATATCATTCTAATATCTATAAATTTTGATCGTCCTATTTAATTAATTAAGATACTTATAAATATATACATATATATATATATATATATATATATATATATATATAAATATATTCTTTATATAATCGTAGGACTGGTATGCTATATTAATTTGGCATAAACAAATTTTGATTGCAAATTAATATATAATATAGTTATCACCAAACAATAATATAAATAAAATAATAAATATACATCACGAATGAGGATACATTTTTAATACCATATAAGAGACATGAAATACAAATGAAACAAATAATTTTATTTAAAATTTCAATAGAAAATAATTGAACATTTCTATTATTTCATACATTAAATATTTTCAAAGTATAAACGTTAAAACTGTTCATGTAAATAAAACGTATGTATATGTATTAATAGTAATCGTATGCTTAATAATCTTCACCATCAGAATCATCGGATTCGTGGCCTTTAATAGTTTTAGGTTTTGTTATGTGAGACATAAATGGTTTCCTAGCATTGTTAGAATATATTATATCATCGCTACAATTAATAGCTCCAGATTGACCAATTCTAACTTCTAATGTTTCGGTAGAAAAATCATCGCAATTACCCAATTCAGTAAAACCGACAATATAATCTTTAGTTTTTCCATTTACTATAAGCGCTATTGTAGGAATAATTTTTATTCGTAAACGTTCTGAAAAGTATATAGATAGTTTATTATTGATATTCATTATAAAATAACAAAGATATTAATACTTTTAAATAGGTTGTAAATTACCAGTGAGAAATGGACAGCGTTCGACATTTAATTTACAAAATTTAGCTTCCAAATGCCTCTTAGCTAAGATTTTAAAATGGTGATCTACAATTTTGGACCTTGGCGAATCATCTTTGTAAAATAAGCATACAATATTTTGAGATTTTTTGGACACCTCAAAGAATTCCTTTTCATCTGGTATTTCGGAATATTCTCCGTGACCCTAAAATATATAAATATATATATATATATGAAATCAAAATGTTATCAATGCAATGGGATTCTTGTCAATGTTATAAATACCAAAGCAAGCCATTCTTGTTTTTGTTTTTGTAACTTTTTAAGTTCTTGCAAACGATTTTCTCTTAATTTCTCAATATCATTAATATCCAAATTATCCAATCTTTCTAATTCTGCATCCAATTGTTTCTCAACATTATTAGCAACTTCAATTACTTTTTGTTGTATGATAGTCTCCATGTTTTTCTTTTTTTTTTGCTTTTATGTAAAATTAAATGTTAAAATTATAGCTGCAATGAACACCACAGAAAATCTGTAAATAATAATGATTTAGATGAACTGTCAAATTTTTATTTATAGAAACAAAGAAAAAAAAATATATATATATATATATATATATATATGCCAAAAAATATATTACATTTAAAGTAAACCAGTTTCAAGAAATGTTGGATTAACTACAGTTGCAGTTGCTTATACCTTATATAGACATATTTCAAATAAACGCTGTATCTAAGCATTGACTTCAACGCAAGGAATAATGTGACGTAAAGACGAGTATTCATATGATGTCATTGACTAAATTTTGTTCTTTTTTGTTTTAAGTATAATTTGATCGATATCTATTGTATAGATAAATCAATGCATTTAATCAATCATAATATCAAGTAAAACAAGGATATTTAAGATGATTTATTTAAAATTATAATATATTAATTTATTTAAAAAAAATATCTCTATAAATATAATTGCATATAATAAATACTATATTTTTTACAAACTCTGAATCGTCGAAATATCGATTGGAACCATCTTTAATTATCATTGGTCAATTTTTAATCACTAAGAATATCATTGGTTAATTTAAAATCCCTGAGAATACTATTGATTGATATAGATTATTTGTAAAGAATACCATTAGTCAGTTTAAAATCCCTAAGAATGCTATTGGTCATTACGGATTAATCGCAAGGAACAGGGAAAAAAAATTGGCCAGTCCTATGGCGCGAATTTTGGAATGGACAGATTCATTCGCGTATACTTGGGGTCAATTGAATTTCTAAGGTTGTCAACTTGTTAAATGGCAACAAAAATGGCGATGTGAATGTGAACAGTTAATATTCATCTTCTGTAGCGTACGTTATAATAAGCGGGTCTCCCCCTGAATATTGATATAGAAGTGAGTAAAAGGTCGCTGACGGTGTGTGCGTGAGTGTGTGGTGTGCCGTTGATCTAGTGCGTCGTGTGCGTGACTTCTTCGTCCGTCGTGCATGCGTGCGTGCGTGCGTGCGTGCCTGGTGCGTGCGTCCGTGCGTCCGTGCATCTGTCTTCTTGCTGCTGTCTATCTGTTTGTCTCTGTGTGTGTTTTTAGTGCATAAAGTGTGTAATTTCGATCGAAAAAATATGTTAGAGACTTTTTGAAGTATGAGCGAAGGAGCGGATTCGAGTACGCGTATTTGCGAGAATTCGCTTACGACCTTGAACACTGAGGACAAACCTAATGTGCCTCTATCAACGGAAAGTAAGGGGACGACAACGAGGACGACGAAGGAGACGACGACGTCGACGACGTCGACCACGACAATTGCTACAACAACAACAATAACAACGGCGACGACGACGACGACGACAACAACAACAACATCATCATCATCATACACTCCTAGAAGGCCACGATTTGGTACTGGCAATGTTCCGGTCTCCCCATACATATGGATTGATGGTAGACAAATAAGAAGCGCTTTGGCGTATACGAAGAAATGGCCTCCTCGACGAGTGAGTTTCCCAACAAATGACATGAATTTGGTTACGGGGTATTTGGAGCCACCTAATCCTTGGAGACACGGTGAGAACAATCATTTATTCTCCCTTTTTATTCTTATTTATTCATCTTTTTTATAATATATACATTACATATATACTTATTTATATATATATTTTTTTTTCATTTTTTTTCGATCGTTCTTCAACATGATATTTGATCTTAAATGAAGAGGCATGTAAGTATAAGATTATTTTATTTTTTTATTTTTTTTTTTTAAATCTGTTTCATCATTATTACATTCTAACAGTGTTCTCTTGATGATTTGTCAGTAAGTATTAGTGTAACTTTTTCATATAGAAAATTCATCGAAGACTACATTTTACTTATCACTTATTTGCCTCGTTGTCATAGTTGAAGATAACAGATAATTATTTAGTATAATACTGCAACTAATAATATTAATGTCTTTATTGTAATACAATTGATCTCTTATTATCTCTCTTATAATCATCATTTCTGTTTTCTTCTTTAACTTAATTATCCAGGTTCATTATAATCCGTTACAATAATATCAAAATTAAATCATCGATCAATTTATTATTACGTTGTTATTATTGGGAACTTTATATACATTTAATGCAATGATTGCTTATTTCTTGTTAATCCATTATTATTACGACAAAGGTTGTAAAAAAAAAAAAACTGAAAATATGACTACGAACAATAATGACCTGAATAATAAATATATAATCCAAATAAATAAATAATATATAATATATAATGTTTACTAATTGTAATATTAGAAAACATACCAAATTAATTTTATATATTAAAACAATGAAGTAATTAAGATCGGATTAATCTAGTGATTGTATCTTGTAAAATTCATTAATTAAAAACTATGTATTTTTTCTTACAACAAAAACAACAAAAACATTGTGTGCAAGTTTACTACATGTGTTGTACTAATATACTTCAAGAAAATGAAATGAAAAATAAATTTAATAAACATTGTTTTATTAAATATTAATCGTTGATTGTGTTGAATTGAAGTTTTACTTATAATTTAAATGATTATATTTTTCTACCATTGGTGAACTCGAAGGTTTGAAATTTTCTATAAAAAATAGATCAAATTTCCTACATTACATAATAATAAAAAGATACTTTTTATTATTATTAGTATTATTATTGTTATTATTATTATTATTATTATTATTATTATTATTATTATTATTATTATTATTAATTATGTATATTTATTAAATCTTTTTTTTTTAAATATATGTGTATATATATATAGTATTTAATTACCTCTACATTTTATTCTTTGTCACTGAGCTATCAGACTTTTTTATAGACTGTGCCAATAGAAGGATGTTTAAGATTTCACAATCAGAACCATGTACTAATTATAAGTTTGATGCAGAGTTAAAGTATGTCTATTATACTTATCTAAGGTACATTACAATTGTGATCTAAAATGAGTTGAAGTAATATCAAATTTGTCATATCATTTGCAGCATCATATATGCAATATATATTTTTTATTTTTTTTTTTTTTTTATTATAGTATTTAAGATCATATTTATAATTGACATATATATATTTCATTTAAATGACATAACATTGGTACAAGAATAACATAATTATTCTTAAATATGTCAATATATATATATAGATAGATAGATATTTATAATTATACATTTTGGATATATAAAATATTATCGTTAAAAAAAATGGTAAGTTAATTATATGATAGAATTTATATAATTCAATTGAAAATGCGATAAGTTTTGTATTTATATATTCTATTTATTTTACATGTATTCCTTTGAAATGTTCTAATGAAATATGTCTAAATACTTGATGTTCTTATATCCTTTTTTTTAGTTTCAATATAATATCAATACTTGTTCACAGCTGAAAATGTGAATCGTGAGGACTTGATCAAAGCATATAAGGAATCCTGCCAACGGCACAACACTGAGCCATTGGAAAAAGTTTTAGCTCAATTAGAGGTATAGCTAGTTTGTAGTGTCAACCATTGATAATCTGTTACATTATCAACAATGAAGAAACATAATATCTAATTATTATTAATTACAAGTATATCATTATATCCAATCAAATATTTTATCACGCAATGTAATTTTTTGATATACGTTAGAGAGATGTGCGACTTTATATTTATGTTTATAATTATTAATTATTATTTCTTGATCGTATTTAAGAAAGAAAACAAAAAATAAAAAGAAAAATAAAATAAATAATAAATAAAAAGACACTCAATGATCATATATATTTATGTCCTTTAAGTAGTATAGCCTTTGTTTATAATTAAAACTAATGAACAACATTTTTTAAACTAGAGTTGGGATTTGTCAGAAGAACGTAATAATGAATTTAACTTAAATGGAATTAATTTGGATGTAAATAATTCAGAAACGTTAGAAGAAATTCTTAAAAGAATTCAATTTAAAAAAATTGACTTGGGAGCTACATCTTTAAACGATGAGGTATTAACAAATTGAAAACTATCATTTTATCTTTATCTTTTTACCCAATATTATTGTTCATAACAACCTATTGCATTATTATTAATAATTTCAAATTTTTCATTACAGAGTTCTGTAATATTATTTGATATGCTAGAATATTATGAATCCGCAAAACACTTGAACATTTCATCCAATTCAGATATCGGAGCTCGTGGTTGGCAAGCATGTTCGCACATGATCAAAAAGGTAGATACGATTATGTATATCGGTTATTGCAAAATGAAAATATCTCAACACTTTATTTTTGTAGTTTCTTAATTGCATATACTATATATATATATATATATATAATTTTGTTATTATCATAAATTTAGTGATAGATAAATAGTAAATCAATATTTTCAATATATTGTGGTCAAAGTTCTGTATGAGATGATTTTTGTTTTTCATTGTTTGTTCATATATTATTATTATTATTATTATTATTATTATTATTATTATTATTCCGCGTATAATTAATAAAATCATTATTTGTCTAGACCCAATGTTTAGAACAGCTTGAAGCTAAGGATGTAACGCTTAATGAACAGTACATGAATATTTTGAGCCGCGCATTAAGATTAGTCTACCATCTACACGTCCTTAAATTAGAAAATTGTGGACTTTCAGGAAGACCTATCGCCACACTAGGTATTTATTATATTGCAGTTTATTATTTTCGTCATTTTTTTACAAACAATAATAATAATTATTAAAAGGTCATTTGATTTTAATCCTAAGTAAATTATTACACAAGATATATTATTTTTGTATTTCTGTATGGTCCACATATTATTATTCCAATGCATTGTACAACAAATTAATAATAATCCTCTACATTATATTTATTTGAATATTAATTAAATGGTTAAATATGAAATATGTATTGCAACGAAAGACATATTGCATGTTTCATTATTTTTATTTAATATTATTTTTTATTATAATTCAATAATAAAAACAGACAATGTTTACTTGTAAAAAAAAAAAACCCTCTTTCTGTAATGTGGCTTCTTGGTGTATCGATGTTGAATGCACTTTCTATTTTTCTAAGTGCAACTTTAGAGAAAATTAATCTGTCTTTTTTAATTTATTTGTGTTAATGTAATTATCAATTAATTATATCTTTTGTTATAAACATTATATCATCGATACCATTGCTTTTCCTCGTGCTTTTCTTTCATAGTAAACATATGTGATCATTCATATGTAATAGAAAATGATAATAAAAATTAAGTTCTTTTTTATAATTAATAATATTAACACAATTTATTATTAATTGAAATTTATAATATTTCTTGTCGTGTAACAGTTACAGCTCTGAAAATGAATACAGGGATAAGAGAACTTTACTTAGCTGACAATGGACTTGATTTTTACGATGCTATACAACTTGGATCTTTATTAAGGCTCAATAATCATTTACAATTACTTGATATTAGGTAGATAAAATTACAAAATTCATTACAATGTTATCAAATAAATGTTTTAAATAGTAAAAGAATATACAATGTCTGCTTTCTTTTTTTTTTGTTTTAGTAATAATAATATTCAAGATGATGGTGTGCATGATCTATTAGAAGGACTTATTAATCAAGTTCAAGAGGATAAAGAGGGCAAAGGATTGAGTATACTCATATTATGGAATAATCGCCTTACTAAAAAATCATCTAATTCTTTCTCTCGTATTATTGTAAGTTATTGAATTTATTGAATTATTTTTTTACATGTAGGCTTTTGTAATAAAAAAAAAATATATATTTTTCTCGTTTACACAGTCATTGTCAAGAACATTGGAAACTTTAAATATTGGACAAAATATGTTAACCAGTGAAATGTTAATCACCGTAAAAGATTCGCTTAAACAAAATCGTATACTTTTACAATTGGGAATGCAATCCACAGATCTGACATGTAATGGTATAATCGCTTTATCTGATGTCATTGAAAATAATCAAGTTTTACAGGTATGTGATATTTCATTAATGAATAATAATATATTTGATAATTTCTTGGATAATATGTTAATAATGTTTGTATGCTTTGACAGAGGATAGATTTGCGAGATAATAGTATACAGATGACAGGAATGAAAGCTCTTAGCACAGCAATGCAGAAGAACAAGAGTGTCGTACAATTGGATTTAGATGACAGGCCTCGAATAAAAATAGTATGTAGTTTAAATAAATTTAAACTATATACTATTTTTTTTTTTGAGACATAAATATTCGTTTGGTTTTTTCCAAATGATTTATAGGACGGAACATTACATCAGTATATGGATGTTTTGGAGGAAGTTAGAAGTTATTGTGCACGAAATAAAGAAAATCAACAGCTGAATGAGAATACTGGAGATTCAGAAAGTCCAAGACATCATAGCAGATTTTTTAGCGCGAGTTCCCGTAAGATCTCGCTTACTTGTCAGACACTGCCATGTTCTCCATCACCCATGACTTCAGTAACCACCGAGGATACAGGGCGATCGACGCTTGAACCAAAACGTACTAGTGGGGGTCGCCTCCGTTCCCCGGCTCCTAGTCCTATCCCCTCACCTGTCGCAAGCCCAATACCAAGTCCTTCTAGAAGTCGATTTGTGGTGTCTCGAGTTTCAGAAGCATCGTTACGTTCCACAGATTCCTCAACATCATCATCTCCTGTAACTCCAACATCGCTAGGACCAATGTCCACGTGTTTCTTTCCTTCCACAAGTGGAACATCTAGGTTTCGTGTGTCAATCGTTGAATCATCATCATCATCATCATCATCATCAAGTTGTCCATCTACACCTAAGTCTGTTTTCGCATCATCTAAATCGAATGTTACCATTGGGTTCAACTTTAAAATCGATTCAGTAGAGTCTGCGGATTCGGACGATTCGGATAATGTATTTAAATCAGAGACAGAAACAAAAAAAGAGACCATTGATAAACATGATGCACAAGAAATTGCAATAAATAGTGAAATTAGCACGATTCCAATTAATAATAATAATAAACATGATAGTATACAACCATTGAATATATCTGATAATATAAATGAACAGAGTACAAATGAATGTTTCACTGCTAGTAACAATTCTAGCGAAGTTAATACTCAAGATAACTTAAATCTTTATACTGTCGAACATAAGGAAGATTCTAAAGACAATCAAAGTGATCCTCTAAAAGAAGAAACGATAATAGATACTTCGGAATTAATATGTAAGAAAACTGATTATTGTAAAAGTGAAATTGTACAAGATGCGCAAATCGATTTGAAAGATAATATTGACGAAGCAAATGTTAATAACGAAAAACTTGATCTTATCGATTTAAATAACGAAGAGCCAAATATGCAGCAATCGGTAGAAGATATTTTATCTGCAAAATCACAAGTTCCATTATTAGATAATAAAAGTGCTCCTCCGGTTCAGAAGCAACACACTTCTGGTTTGGAAAAGCTTCCTAGCTTGTTTCAAAGTAAAGCTAATTTTTTTTCAGAATCATCGAATATCAGTCAAACGGATTTTCGAAATTTATTGCAAGGTAGTGTAAATAGCGTGTTAGCATTTGGCGATAAATTTCATCAGTATTTTAAGGATGGTAAAGCTATATGTAAAAGTAATGCTTCTGGAACATTTGCAGACATTATATCTTTACCGACTAAAAGTAAACCGTTAAAGTCATTAAATGTAACACAATTACCAAGTATACAAACTTTAACAAATATGTTTGCTTCATTTAAAACTGAGACTACTAATACTACTAATGCCTCAGAACAACAGTCATCGAAAAAGTGCTCAAATCAAATAACGAAGCACCCAGATCAAGGATATAATAATGAAGAAAAAGTTAAAGAGAAAAGTTTAAATGAAAAACCATTACATAATACTAGTGTAGAATCATCCAGTTGTTACGATAGTAAAAAAAACTACTTAAGTAGCGATAAAGAAGATGAAGCTAGTGTATCTAGTTTAAATATTCAAACGTTACCTGATAATGTCCAATTAAAAGATGAAGGGCATGCTAGCAGAGATTTAATAGAAGAAGAAAATAATAGTGTTACCTTAAATGTGGTAGTAAAAGCTTGCTCTAAAACTGTACATAATGCTTCATCGATAAATGTTTCAGAGAGCAAGATGACTGTATGTATACCTAAGTTAAAGGATATACCTGAATACTCTGTTTTAGAAGTAAGTGAAAATGTTCTTGATAAAGAAACCATAGAATATGAATCGGTGGGGAATATAGATTCTGTAAAGATAGAAAATGTATGTGATAGAAGTTTGACTGACAGTATTAATTTGACTAGTGATGAAATCTCTTCATCTAATAACGTGACATGTGATATAAAAGTCATAGATAATGTAAATATTGTAAGTATGCTCGATGAATCAGTAAATTTGCAGACTACTTATGAAAAAGATGTTGCAGAGTCTTTGCTTCTTAATACTTGTTGTAAGAATGACAAAGTAGCATCAAATGTGCATGTGGATGATTATAATAAACATGGTGTAAATGATATTTCCATGATAAATCATGATCTATTAGAAATTAATGTAGAAAAAAAGAAAAATTTTACTAACGAAGTTACCAAAACATGTAGTGTTAATGTTAACGAAGAAAATGAAGAATGGATCGGTTTGAACGATTCATTGAGTCAGGATATAGGAGCAAATACTTGCCATGTGGATATAGATCCACATTCAAAGAGTACAATTGTAAATAGTAAAATAAATTCATGTATATCTGAATTAAGTCTTACTTCTAAAGATAATGTTGATGATTTTAATAATGTTAATGCACAAATACATCCAACTGCTAATATCTGTACGAATGAGGAGGAGGAGGAGGAGGAGGAGGATGCTGTAGTTGATTTATGGAAAGAGGATAAATTGAATGATCTTATTACAGAGGAGACACTGTTATCCAAGCCAAATAATATTGATGCATGTCCGACCGTATCTGAAGATGTTAAAGTTAACAATTATATAGAAAATAATATAAATAAGCCTTCTGGTAAGGAATCAGACTTAACTATACTTCCAACTGTAATATTGTCACAGACTAAAGATAATGTTTCTGCCTCTGTTAAAAAAACTCTTCAAGATTTTGAAAAATCAGACTCTGAAGATCTTATATTTTGTATTACCGATATATCTAATTATGGAAACTCTGTTAAAGACGAAGAAACACATTCATCTAGTATAGTTTCTGATGCATGGCAACAGAATAATAACGCGCCAGAAATAGAAACTTCATTTTTCGATCTACCTCAAACATCTCATTCGTCAACAAGTTTAATTATTGAAAAACCCGAAAATATTCATAGGAATAGTCAAGATTCAGGAATCGAGGAATCCAATTTGTTGTCAACTTCAGAAGATAACATTCCAGAGGTGGTAGTTCAGCCGCAACACAAAGAAAGTTTCCAGGAAAGCGTTGATTCTGGAATAGAAACTGAATGCTCATTGGTATGCGTTAAAGTTAATCCTAGCATGGATGATACTACTACGAAAACTGAAATCATTAAGAACAAATCATCCAACAATGTTGATGACAAAGCTGAATGCCCCCCTTGTAAGCGCATCAATGATCTCACAGATTTTCAATCTGATATTATTGAACATATACAACCGAAAAATAATGACACTGTAAGTGAAGTAGATTATTCGTATCTTGATATGGTCAAATGCGCAGTGGTCACGTCTACTACGTGCTCGATAGGTGGAATAGAAATCACGAATAACACGGCGGTTGGAACTAATTCTGAAGAAGATGATAGGATAAATGCTGAACCGCCTGTAGTTTTTCATGTTACAAGGTAAGTCATACATATATATACGGCAGAATAATCACATATATTTTTCAATTCAATCTATTGAAATATTTATTCTTACAAATTCAAAATTACAATAAGATACGAGTTGTTGTTTAAATGATAAATTATCTCAGAGTAAATTTCTTCATTTGAAATAATTCTATAATCAGGTCACAGTTTTAAGGGGTAAAATCACTCTTCAATGCATTCTCATTGTTTGTTATGAATTATTGTTTAACTTGTGGATACTAACGTTGATTGCATTGCCAGAATGAAATTAAAAAAAAAAAAAAAACAAAAACAAAATCTAAAAAAAAAAAATATGCCAATTCTGCAAATTGTTCATTTCATCGATAACAAATTTTATTGTTCGCAGCTTTTGACATTATTGACATTATAGTTTAATGATTTTTCATAAATCATACACGGCGATGTTATTGTTTGTATTCATGAAGGCTGACAACAACAAAAAAAAAAAAAAGACAAAAAACAAATAAAAATAAAATAAAAGCAAAATATTCTAATAATAATAATAATAATAATGCATACTGTATGTAGAATGCTCTGCAATGTATACGAAAAATTTAACTACTCGGTGCATAACACATGCTACCTTCATCATATATCTATTTTAAAACTCAACGATTGATTAGGCCCGCAATTTCATCATATTATTATATACGCAAGTGTCATATTTTAATTTCTGCGCAAAATGTGTGTCGTCGATGGGACCAATTTAATTGCTGTATATTCTATAATACATATTTGATGGAACGTGTTGGTGAAATATTAATAATTATTTTCAAATAGTGCCTCAATAAATATATATAAATATATATATGCCTGTACCAGAAGAAAATTGGATTAGCTGGCGTTCCATCATTTTCTACGTTCGTTTTAAAAGACTACTATATATATATATATATTACTTTGCTTCTCTTAATTTCTTATTTCTAATTAATCCTTTATTCTATGTCACGCTTTTACCGTACAGTAATATCTTTGCCTGACTAATCGAGATTGCATATATATATATACTGTTTATTATTATTATTTTTTCTTGTTTTCATTCACACAGGGTAATATGGCCCTTATTTTTATCATTCATATCATCATTTTTTAGACATATCCTTTATTAATGGAAAATCTTAGCTAAACTCAACTCCATTTACTAAGCTAATAAAACAATCATATATTGCTGGTACAATAAAGTAAACCGTATAATTTAATTAAATCATAAAACAATCGAGTCTATTTTACTCCTTAAAACTGCATTAGAATGAATTTTATTTTCAATATAAATAGAAAATTAATTAAATGAATATTTTGAACAATCCGATGATTTTATAATTAAATGAAATATGTTTTAATATAATCAAAAGTTCATTTAATAATATTCTTAATTATAATTGGTTTACTTTACTGTACCAGATATTTAAAATAAAAATGGTTAGTGTTCGACTTTAGTAGAAGAAAAGAAAACATTTCCAAATGAATTAGATAAAAATAAAAAAAAATAAAAAAATAAAAAAAATAAAATCGCGCGAGTAGTATTTATGTATTAAATTATGTTGTGATTGATTTATGATATTTCATAAAATGAATATTAATTAATTATCATTCGTAGCCCGAAGTAATACGGACCTCACGGATGACGAAGAAGAAGAAGAAGAAGACGATGAAGAGGACGAGGACGACGAGGCAATTTACGAGGACGATGATGAAGACGACGATGAAATAAATGAACTTGAGGAAACGAAGAAAAACCTTGAGCCAAAGTATCGTCGTTATGCCAACTGGCGAATTTAATAAGAAGAAGAAGAAGAAGAAGAAGGAAAGAAAACAAAAATTAAATATAAATAAATATCTATTAAAAACCCATTTAAACCAAAAGTAATAAATGGTTGAAGGATTAAGAAGAAGAAAAAAGGAATAGTGCGGGTCACAATGTTACGATAGAAGGGATGATATTGTTCATCTAATAAGAGGTCCTTAAAATTGTTAATTTAAGTTGAATATAGAAAAGAAAAGAATGGAAAAGAAATAATTAGGGAAAAGAACAAGATTGTAAGTTTTCTTGCTCGATAATGTTAACGCAACACTTATTTTTTACTAATCTTTTAGTTCAAAAGTTTATAAGAATGGAAAGAAGAAGAAGAAGAAGAAGTAGAAGAAAAAATAAAATAAAGAAAGATTTAATAATAAAAAAAAAAAAGAATGAAAAAAAAAGTATAAAAAAAAACAAAAAGGTAGAAAACAATAAAAACGAACAAAGATGAGGATGCAGTGCATGCTGCTTAGTTCGTATTCCTGTTTTGCGTATTTTGAAAAAAAAAAAAAAAAAA